TTTTTTTTTTTTTTTTTTGTTACTCATTAAAAATGAAAGCAGACAAAAAATAAGGTACTTCCAGCTACTATTATATTGCTGTTTGTACTTTTATGAGCGCATAAAATATGGCACGAACTTGCATGCGTTAGTGCCTGCACATATACATATATTTTACAATTACCTTATGCTGTCGCAATTAATGCGACTCCATCTAGTCGTATGATGATAGAGTAAAAGTTTATTACCCACAATTGGAAAAGTTTTGTATGTAATTAAAAGTTCCATAATAGCTTCCAAGCAAGTACTACGTATTTGAAATTGTTCTTGTTGGTCCACCATATTTTCCTCGTAAACTTTATTGATTAGCAGCAAAAATGTCATAAAATATTCTTCGAACTGTTGACGTGTTGTAAAACCAAAAATTGATAATCTACACGTATGCAGATAAAATTCAGGTAAGAAAAAAAACATTATTTTGGAATTTTAGAAAAAGACATTCGCCTTGTGACGAATCCGAGACGCCCCTCTCCCCAAGTAAGCAAAAAAAAACCGCCAAGAAATTAAATTCTCATAAACTACTTGACGTTGCAGCTTAGGCTTCGTTCACATTTTAGCCATCGATTACAATATTTTTGAAAATTGTTGGCTTTTTAAAACTTTGCCTGTTTTATAGTTACAAGTATATATCCATGCGCGTATAATGCGCACGTGTGCATACAACATTGATTTATGGTATTGCATTAATACAAAGTTAATTAAAAGCCGGACGGATGGGATCAAATCGGAAACATTGGGGGTATCTAACACGCATTGCTATCGTGTGATAAGACTAGATGTCTGCCGGTAGTCAAGATAAAGCGTTTTCAAGTTTTTGTTTTTAAAAAAAAAGTTTTGATCTACCTTTTGACAAAGCTGCGCAGGATGTCAACATCGCTAAGACTTTCAATTGGTATGACAGGTAAGCTTCGATTGATTGCTGGAACTTCGTCTCTCTGATATGAATGTGAAGTTTTTGTAGGCGACATTGAAGTATGCATGGATATCCTTTCTTTACCTAAACTAAATTCATTTTTCAGTTGCTCTTGCACGATCTCAAACGGAGTCACGGCAATCGTATAGAAAAGATGTGTTTTTAAGGTCGAGACACCAATCGAAAGGATCGTTTGCTAAAACATAAGAGCCCAAAAAGCAGATAAAAATGCATCGCTTTACGTATCATACGTTCCGTATTCCTTATTAACCTGTGTAAGGATTTTATTGATTTTGTTTCGCTGTAATACTTACCAACGGTATATAGTCGACATTATAATTGAAGTCCTTAAATTTATTATTATCGTTACAGAAGCCACCAACAAATTCAATGTTTGCCGATGCCAAGAACTGTTTGCCAATTTCAGTTTCAATTAATTTTCCAACAAATATTGCTTTGGGAGCGTAAACAGCCGCCAACCATGTTTCATTGTCGAAGTTTTGTTTAGAGGAAGCCTCAGACCTCAAAGCATTTTTATATTTCTTGTAAAAAGCAGTATTCTCCAATAACATAGTAGCTGCGCAAACAACAACATCCAGTAGAGAGCAAATAATTGTGTTCTGTTCACACTTTGTCAGACCATAACCAATACATGAATCTCCGTCACCACCGCCATTACCACTGGCGCCCTCATGTAAAGCTTTAACTTTTTCCGGTTGATTGAGAGCACGCCAAATGAATTTTTGATGTAAAAGTACATCAAGGCATCGCAATAAAACCGTAACTTGGTGTCTTTGTTCAAATGTTAATGTCGGCAAGCACCTACTGCTACTGCTGCCACTACCACTATTGTGTCCGCTCAATAATGCTTGTATGTAATTGCAGCACCACTCTATAAAATGTAATAATGTCGCAAGGTAGTCCGGTCGCAACAAGTGCTCACTCACAAATTTATCGATGAGTTTTGTTTCTACATAAATTAGAGCCACTATCTCGATTTGTTTAATGTTTTCTATTAATGCAATAAGAGCCTCAAACAAACAGACGGAGACAACAGCATCTCTTTCACTAGCATCATCGTATTCTTTTTTTTTCGGAGTATCGGCTTCACATTCAGAAATAACTGTTGCTCTTCTATTGTGCTCAAATTGTTGCTGACTTTTGTTGTTTTGTTTAGTTGGTGGCTGGCGACGGCTCGTAATTTTCATTTGTCGGCCAAGACCTGACATAAGAGCGGTAACAGAAATACGTGCTAATGGATTCAATTGCATATAGTTTATGTGCGGATTATGTTGCACGCAGTTGTTACGAAATGATGCCAACATTGCCTGCAGTGAGCTTGAAATTGCTTCTCGCAGCACTCGTTTTACATCAAAATTGTTATCATTGAATATCATTTGCAGCTTATTTTCCGTTTGTATTTCTAAAAGCACTTTTACTATTTGCTCTGTATCATAGTTAGTACGCGTCGAGAATTTAATTAACTGCAACGACAGAAGGGAAGCGAGACTTAAATATGCATACGTATGTATGTAAGTAAATGCTGGAAATTATACTTTCACGTAGACGTAAATCAGAGAACGCATACGTTTTGAAAATTAACAGACGGTATTGTGCCCCACTACTCTATAAATTTCAATAATATATTGACGATATGTTGAAATTTTGGTATCTGCTGCTACATCTACTATATACCAGCCATATCCACCATTCAGTAATGAAAGGCCGTACTAAGATTCTCATGTCACTTCTAAGCAGAAAACTTACTAAGATCTATCAACCCCTTCTTTAGACTCTCAAATGAAAAGAAATTGAAGTAGAAGACTAAATTTAAATCTCACACAAACAATTAACATTTTTTCAAAGTTGCAGTTACGTCCGCAACTGGTAGCTTACGTCCTCCTGCCTCCTCGTTACACAATCATCGTGTACGCATGTAATTTAGACTTAAAGTGTATTTGTTTACAAAAATAAAAAAATAAATTGCTATTTATAAAAAATTTGATACAATGTTTTTTGTTTGTCTTTAAACCACTTTAAACTACTGTTATCGTCAATGCTTGCGGAATATTTTTGAAAATACAAAAAACGGAAATAACGGAATAACGCTGGTCTTATCTTTTCACTGATTATTTAGTGTCGTCTTTTTTTTTTTTTTTTGCAAATGTGGACGCATTCGTGAACATGCATGCTCCCAGCAAGCGTGCATGTGTGTGTAATTGGAAGTTCGCTTATGGCTGTTTAAAGTTACGCTCATATTTAAATACACTCTATATATATATGTACCCTATGCATGTGAGGGGAGGGCAGAACTAATAAAAGAAGCGCAAATATGCTGCAAGTAGCCCTTAGTTACGGGCCGTAAAATGAACAAAATATTTAGGCAAACGGCTAAAAAAACCATTTCCTGCAACAAGGAGGTTAACCGAGGAAACTCTTTAAAAAACTTCAGCCTACAATTTTTTATGCACATATTGTGAATGTAAATGAAATGGGCGGGGAGGTGCTTCGAAAAGAATTGGAGAGAAAGAGAATCTGCCATAATCTCTTCTAAAATCGTTCTAATGGATAATTCTTTAAGCGGTAAAATTGTTACCTTCTTCCAAGCCCAAAGAGTCCAATTGTCGACCATAACAAGTCAAGCTCTTTATATTATTATAAATATTGTTTAAGTTAACTTGTTGCAAAGCCTGCGCATGTTTCACTACGCAATGTTATTCTAAGGAGACAAGATTGAAAATCGCTGGGATTATGGTGAACGTTGTTTGGAAAAAAACCCTGTTACGAGAAAAACATGCTCGAAGTTTTGAGTTTCGGAATACCAATTCTTTCAATCATTTGAAATCTGGTCAGAAAAAAAAATGATTTCCTAAAAAATTTACTATTACCCCTTAAGCTCTAGTAAGGTCGGGTAAGTTGTAAGCACCAAAAAAATTAAAAGAAAAAAGCAGAGTCATCTTGTTTCAGAAAGTAATTTTGAAACGTGAAAACTTGAAGTAATTTAATCGTAACTGGTTCCACATTTGCCTATGTTTACACGTTGCCGTTCGTGGGCCCAACTTAAAAAATGTGATTAAAGGCATATCGGACCACGGACTTTTACTGCACTATACTAAACTTAAGTTTGTCAAAAGGCTGGAGTTTAAATATTTAAATATGTGAAAGCAATGAAGCAAAACGAAAAGCTTTAAAAAGATATTTTATTATGATTCCTCTTAAGCCATATTTTTCTCGTTTCCTCACTTTTTTAAATGATCAATTTAATTTTCTGACAATTTTTCGCAATAAAAATATTTTCACTTCAACTCACCTGATTGCATATCCACTCCTCATCAATAATATTAGGAACAGCTCCTAAGGGTGAATTGTCGCAGTCCCTGATATAGTAGGAATTTTCCAAATCATTTAAGCTGTTTAGAAAGGAATTCAAAGAGCAATACATAAGTAAAGTACGTATTGAAAACGATACCAAAAGAAAGGAAGAAAAATATAAATAAATAAAAGGAAACTACTTTACAATTATAATGCTTACAAAGAGAGTACGCTGCTGTGTATTTATGCATTTATACACAATATAAATACAAAACAATAGAAATATTTAGCATCGAGTATTTGTGAAAAGAAATGACTTACATCACAAATTGTAGTTCTTGTTGTTGTTGTTGTTGTTGTTGTTCGCTTTCATCCGGGTCCCCTTTTTCTCCTTCCTGCAATAAATGTACAAAGCAATCGTAAATGGCATTTTTATCGTGAAGACCAGAAATATTGATGAGACGCCTGGCTAAACGTTCAATCTGCATTTGAAGTGGCCTATTCAATGATGTCGCCAATGCTCGTGCTGCTGATGATGTTGACGATGATGACGACAATGATGATAATGTAGCAGTTGTTGTCATCAATTGATGTAATTTACTTAAAATTTTCAAAAATTTCACTCTACACGTAACGCTGCAGCTATCGCCTTTACAAAGACGTTCTATTAAATATAAAAGGCACACAATGGAATGCTAATCACATTCGCGATTGTCAAGTACAAGAAATCACAAAGAATGCCATAAATTGGAAATTATTAAATTGATGTTAATAAGAAATATATAGATATATACATTTTTCATAATAATTGGATACTCCAAGCAACGATAATATAATTAGAATAAGTATTACGCTATATATCTTACATTCTTCTTAATTATAAAAATCGCACCACTGACCTTATTAAGCGCTTTAAGGCTTTCCAGTAAACTATTTTGAAATAATGAGCAAAATTCTTCATCTACTTCACACCAATGGCAGATCAATTCAAACTGATCGACAATTAAAATATTCAAAAAATTGACATTCAACAGTTGCTTCGCTTGCTGCAAATTCCACTTGGTTGATATCGACTGAAAATTTATATTAAAATTAAAAACAGAGATAGATGATTATAAAAACCGATTTTATCTCAAGTAATCTAACGAAGATGCACTGTCAAGACGTTCCCCCCCATAAGGCTAGTCCATCTTCTATTTACGTTAGAAAATTGTCTTCTAAGTAAAGTATTTTATTAACTATGTACATGTTCTTCGTTTTGAGCACTTTCCACGTCAAAAACGTGCGAATGGTGTCTAACCTTCAGATTACATCAAGTCAAAATTTGGTGACACGATGTTGGAATATTTTTTCTTTCTCTTTTTAAATCTTTAGTATTCCTCGAGAACTGTTAATAAGAAATTATGTTATACAGGTTTCATGAAGGCTTGGCCTGTGCAAGATTTTAATATGTAAGAAGTCTGCTTTTCCGCAGGTGTCACACACTTTTACCTATAGTCGTAGTTAAGCTGCCCTAGGAAAAAAATTATTTTCTACATTTTACTTCATTAAGAAATTGTGTATATATAATCCATTTTTCATTTTCTAGTCTATTGCAACTCGACTCATCTCTAGCTTACCGCATTTGCTCTTAGCCCTCTCATTTGATATCCATATCAAAAAAAAAAAGAAAAGTACAATCGGCCGTTTTTCACATCCGACATATAGCATTTGGAAATAGCACACTTGCCTTGTCGTATTCTATTTGCCAAGCTCTTGTACTTGATACCCATTTTCATGAAGATTGTTAAAAATTCATTACTTTGATTATATAGAATTTTTTATGTTCTTTCCAATTAAGAAAAGTTGAATGAAAGCTTATCAAAAGAAAAAAATGTAGACCGCTCAAGATTTAATTTCAAATATTAGCTTGCAGAATCAAGGGTTTACGACGAACTGAACTTTTGAATGGCGCGCATTCAAAACAAAGGCAGAATAAATTAAATTGTTGGATTAACTTTGACAGATGCGTAAATTTATGATTTAAGAGGGAAAAATAATGAGACAAAATATAATAGAAAAAATATAAAATACCTTGCGACTAAATAGTCAATCAAAAGGTGTATGACGATGAAGCTCCTTAGATTAAAAATCTTAAGCTTTATTTATATTAATTAATATTTTTGATTTGCGAGCGGCTTGGCCGCGTGAGCGCGCAGCTAAACTCAGTAATTGGAAATTTAATATCGAATAAGCTGAAGAAAAAGTAAAAAAGTAAAATGTGTAAATATAAGGACAACACGTGCACTACTACTACGACTACTATCCTGCCACAATTTGCATCGCAACGGCGGGGGACAAAAAGTCCCTATTGTTACGCAAGTTAGGGAACATTTCAAATATGTTTTCACAACGTGTGAAACATTAAATCGAACATGGTTGACTGCATAAACACACTCATCACTCACTCGTAGCCCTTATAAGGGAAAAACTTTAGCTGTCGGCAGTGTAAGGACAAATATTTATACATAAAGTTACTACCTGCTATAGGTGAATAAACGTACTGTTGAACGGCAGCGCAATGAAGAGATTAATTAAAATTTTACTAATGTGACACTTACACTATACTGGCTGCAAAGTTTTTGCAAAAGTGCCCGCCTTACACTACTGCATATGTCATCAAATTGCAAACGTTCCAGCAAAGTTAGAGGATCCAGCAACTTTAAAGTTGAGAACAGTTGAAATAATTCGATTTGTAAAGAGAGCATCGAATCCACAGCATCGTCGTACTCATTCATATGTGCTAAAATCAGGAACGTTGATGGCGATGAGGATGACATCAAAGAAAAAGAACTGTTGGCATTAAGCACTGATGCTGGTATACCTTGGCTTATGTTCAATATCAACAAATTATAGTAAATATTTAAGAATTTTGATTCGGCTGTTGTTAGAACGGAGCACATATTGGTGTATAGGACATTGTCGAGATGTGAACTGAAACAGATTTTGTGTAGAGTGTGCACAAAATTGGCCGCCAAATGTGTATATTGTGCAGCAAAATGGCGACTGAAAGTAAGCGGCGTCTGTTGTTGGCTGGTCAGAATGGTAAGACAATCTTCAAGCAGTCCACACAAAACTGTTGCAAAGTAGTTAATTTCACTTATATTACTGGAGACATAAGTTTGGGCAACGGCAGCAGCTGCAGACGATGTACTCGGTTTGTCGTTGTCAATGTCCAGCAGGCAACGGGACGAGAGCAAATGTTCGGTGGTTGTTAGTTGTTGATGTTGGTTTTGCTTTTGCCGCAGCTTTTCTATTGCTGCCGGATGATTTTTCAAATAGAGTTTTATGTGATTTACTAAATAAATTTCCTCGGTTTTGAGGATTACGTTCGACAGGATAATCGTTGCATACGATAAATCACTAAAGTTTGCAACATCCTTTTTTGTGAATTCAGAAACGTGCATACACACGCGTACGTACACACAATTTTTGTTATTGTTATATTTTACAGTTGTTTGTTAGCCGAGTTGTTTATGTTGGCATCACAGCCCGGAGCGCAAAAGTAAATATGGATACATAGATTTTTCGTGTTAGTTGGTGTTACCGGTTTTTTCGTCGTATCGTCATTGTTGTATTTTTTTTTTTTCGTTACAGTTAAAGTTGATGTTGGCATAATAAAGCATCACACATCCAAAAAAGAAGGAACATAGAGAGAACGGCAAAGAGATATAAGAAAAAAAAAAAAAGTATGTAGGAGAAAAGTCTAGGTGGTAGCGTATTAGAGGCATGGTAAATATTAAATGAACAAATAGTACAAAAGTTAGATCGTTAGTGAGTGTTAAAAGTGCAAAACTTTTGCATACATCATTTGTGTTCTGCTATTAGATAAATGATAGATGCACGTAAGTGTGAATCATGAAGCTACGAAATGTTTGAACACTTTTTTTGCCTGAATGTAATTATAGGGAAAGTTATTCCTCCTTTTCTTCTTGACTTTTATTTTTAAGAGAATTTTTTAGAAAATGTTAAACAATTCGTGTGCATCCGATTTTCTAAGTGAAAAGAGGTGTTCTTTGAATTGACTTTGAATTGAGTTTAAATTGATTTTTAACGACTTTGTAATACGGCGTCAAACAGACATAAAAACGAATTTTACTTTACAGCGAAAGATCGTATTTTTTGATATCAACTCATCTAATTCATCTGAGGATCGGCTACATAGATGCATTGTCGACCGTTTGCCAGCCATCTGCCTAAAAAGGCATAACATTAGCTTATTTCTGCATGCGTACAATTCCCTAAGGGAATACTACTTGAAATTGAGTTATTATATATTAATCTTTCCCATTTGCTTGGCAATTATGAAAATATCTACAAAAATTATTCTTAAACGACGAGACTTAATACATCAAGTAACGCCAATCATAACTTACGAATCCTGCACAGCTGCTTACGTATTTCCTGGTTTCAAAAACTCAAGGGGAAATATAAGAAATCCACCCTCCAAGCTATCAAAACTTTTTTTATTTATTAGCAAAATAAGATTAATCATAAAATCCATATGGAATTTTATGGTGCAAGCCCACCGATTGACCCGTACAATCACCGTCTAGAGAAATGGCTAAAAGTGATTTTCATTCTGCTTAATAATCTTAACACGTTTAAGCAAAATAATTGATTTATGAAATTTTTTAACACTTGAAAGTGTGAGACAACACGTTTCCAATGCAATAATGCTGCATTAGAATGCAAGAGAGGGCTTATATTAGGCATTAGCCTCACCAGCTTTTACAACAACATTTTTTTAGATATTTCATATAGCGTACGTTACTGTACATCATTTACTGCATATCATGTTATCTATATCATATATTTCATATATATATATATTATTGACGTATGTGAGTTATATTTTTAGGCAATTTGGAGGTGTCAAATAGAGAGAGCTAAAAATTAAAAATCATATTCAGACAGTCCTTTGCTTTGATTTGAAGGGTCCTTGATCAAATCGAGATTGATAGGCAATAGTTTAAGGCCACCCGTAACGTTTAAAAGAAATAATAAAATGAAACTTTGCAGCTTTGTTTGCAAATTTTTAAACTCATAACAGTAAGTTTAACAGACAAACAGACTGATTACAAAATTCATATAACTGGCGAAGTCTCGCATCATAAAACCTTACAACAAACACCTCGGTATAGTTAGCTACTCACTATGAACGATGAAATAAGTTTTTTATATAATAAACAAACGAACGGGTACTCACCACTTCGATGACAAACTTCAGCAAGGCCATGAAATCTTTGCTGTTACTCAGAAGATGTTTAAAATTATTTTTGAAAAACACATCCGCTAAACAAAAATCACGCCAGTCTCTTATCCTCAAACGATTTGCACATATTGCCTGACAAATCATGCCACATACTACATCTGGATTTGGCAAACAACTCATTTGTTGCTTTAATACATCCTCCTCCCTCATAAGTGAAAATTTACTTTCAACGGAGTCGGTATCACTATGCTGGCGTTGAAGTTGCTGATGGTACTGCTGTTGTTGCAATTGCTCAATTAGCAATAGTAAGCTGAGAACTTGTTGGCAATCAACAGATTCAATGAATTTTTCTAGCATTCCCAAAACAACTTCTTTTTGTGTGTCAAGTTCTTTGTTATTTCGACTGCTGGTGATGCTACTATTGTTGTCGCTATGCGATAAAAGATTTCCAGTTACAAAAGTCAATGAATTGGTTTGTTTTTTTGCGTCACTTGTGGCCTGATGTGTAGATTTCAACATACAATCGCTGGAGGCAATATTTCTTAATGCATTTTTCGGATTGTTTGTCGCGATGAGAAACAATTCATAGGCTAAAGTTTTTAAAGCCTCAATTGCGGTTTCTCGTATATTACAATTGGCCAGCAAGTTGTTGGTTATGCTAATAATTTTTGGCATGCTGATCACGTTACGTTCACTTTTTGACGATAATTTTACCAGAAACCTGATCATTGGACCTATAACTATTTGCCCATTGCTGAACGAATATATGATGGATTTAAAGCATATATATGATTTTAAGGCTGATTTGTACACTCACCGCGCTATACCATTTTCGATAATATCTAAGCTCTTTCTAACATGATCGTATATGACATTTTTTGCATCCAAATTGTTGTATGTTACGTTTAAGTCCAAGAGCAACGTCAGTAGGTCCAGTATTGAAGCTTGTACGCGGCCATTGCTTTTAAGGAACAGCTAAAATGTGTTCAATTTCCACACTCTTATTTATCTTTTATTGTGAGAAAAGTACTACTAACCGTTAAGCAATATATAACTATTGGTTCAAAAAATTTAATATGTTTTGAGAATTCAGCTTCGTTTTCTGACTTCCAAGTGCGAAACTCACAGCCACTAGCAAATAGCTCAACCAACAATAGATAATTATAGGGCATGTTATTGCTCCCATCGTTACCACATTTATTACCATCTACTGAGTGAGCACATCCCCATGTTAAAGATGATAACAGTGGTGGTGGTTGCTTGATTTCGATTGTAGCCGTTGTTGTCGTTTTAGTTTGATGACTTTCAACATCTTCTCTAATGATATTCTGCAATCCTTTAGTTTTGGCTGTGAAATACGACTTTGTAAATGCCAGATAATGGCCTCGCTTTTGCTCATGCTGCTGCAAGTTTAGTTGTTGTCTGCTCCCTTGCTGCCTGTTGCCATAATTTCTAGCAAACAAATATTTCAACAGTTGTCTCAGACATGCAATGCACTCTTCGGGTGCATAATTTATGACTTTGGTCAAGTACTGTAGAGTTTCTTCAATTAATTTCAACCCTGGCACTGCAGCCAATGCATTTGTAGCTGCAGGCAACACAGTATTAGCATCCGGTGCATTTTTGGCTAAACCACCACCACCGTTACTACCATTATTTACGCCGCTAACACCAACATACTTATTACCGTCGTGCGGCAGCATTTCAATACAAGCATTCAGAGAATTCAAACTTGATTTTAAAAGGGAAATTAATTTGCTGCCGGCTTCCTCATTAATGGTAATCTAGATAGATAGATGAATTTTTTTTTTTTTTTTTTTTTGATATCAACGCAAAGGATATGTATGTATATGCGTATAGAAGCAAGAATGTCTTTTCTCATTCCTTATCTCTTTTTAAGTTAAACGTGCAGATTATGTACTTAGACTGCTCGCATTCTAAGTTCTATGTTAAATTTTTCAACATTTTACTTACCCTGTAATTGTCATAAGCACTTTTTAAATTCTGATACAGTTTCATGTAGATATACTCGCTGCCAAAATAGCCTATGCTTTGAGTAATGGCCAATTCTTTGGTGTTACTAAACAAATCCATTTTTTGGCCTTTGGCCATAATTAAAGGCTTTTGATTGGTAAACAAGTGATAGTAGATATTTATTATTTTCATTGTGTGCTTAAGCAGACATAGATTTGAATCACGATACTGTTGTACATCGGGATTAAATATTATACAGCCTATAGGGGAATAGTGACAATATAAATTAGTTTCCCATAAAAAGAAAAAAAGAAGAGGAAGACATTATGTTTAGATAAGTTAGCACCAGTTAGCAGGTACCTGTACCTGTACCTGCTGTGTAAGTTCGAAAATCATATTTATGGAAATGACACATAACAATACGTCGAACAGTCCGGTCCGTAGACATATTGAGAAACGCAAGTAAGTGCGCCAGGCGCACTCATCGTTAACGCACTTAAAGAACAACATAATTAACTTAACATATAAGACGCTAACACGCGACTAAGAAGGTAAATATAATCTGACCTCCCAGACTAAATGTGAAAGTCGTAAACATGATTTCAATGGGCAAACAAAGAGCGAAAAATATATGGCTACCCTACCTACCTGCTATGCCTCATAATTAAAAATGACGCCCACGATGAGACGCTCGAGCATATGTATGAAAACTGCCAAGACAAATACATGAAAATCACATCATTTTTTGCTTTTATTTTGTTTTTTTTGTTGTGGTAGGTATCTTACTCAAGTGACAGACAGTTCAGCAAAGAAAATTTTAGACAGATAAGAGGCACTTTATAAGCTTAAAATTGATGAATGCCTTAATTGGTTGAAATTCTAAAAAAATTTGTTCCTTGCTTTCTTTTTTTTGTTAATTCTTTTATTAGTTTCGGATGGCAATCAGAGCAAAAGCCCTTCATTTATAAATGTTCGTAACGAAATTTAATTTTAATACGAAAATCTTAAAAATTCAAAAAGCTTTTCATCAAAACCTAACTTGAAAGTCTTACTTTTACATAAATGTTGTGGATGTGTGTGGATGTGCGTATATGTAAATCTTATAAAACTAAATCAAAAAGCAGACAGACGTTCGTGCTCTGTTATATGATATAATGAGATACTTAACAAATTTACAAATTCACAAGCACACAAATAAGTTTATGTTGTGTAACCAAAGATATAGACATGGTAAGAATAACATTTACCAGAAGGCAAAACAAGAATGGTGTGAGTTATGCAAAGTTATAAATGCAAATGCAGAATCGTTCATATGCATACAAGCAGAGTCACACGTACATTTACTACATTTACTGGGTGAAACCAAGGAAACTATCCTCAAGTTAAAACAATTAGATAAAACACATACGAACGCAAATGTAACATGATGCAGCAGTAGCTATTAATTTCCTATCATATTCTCATTAGAATAGTCCATCGTTCGTAGGAGAATCTAAGCCTTTTTCGGCAAACTATGATCATCCGATGGATCGAAATTTGCATAAGATTTACTGTCGTTTATACAACGGATTCAAAATAAAATGCTTAGACCATCATACTTCACAAGTGTTTTTTCTAATGCATCGAAAAATCCAGGAAGTTGTGTCGAACTGAGATGAAACTGAGAAACAATTCAAAGTCGATGGCTCCAAAAAGAGAAAACCTGTCGAACTGCTCTGTTACTCTCTTATTTCAAACCAAGGGTGAGCAATATTTGTTTCCTTTACGTAAATCTATTCTATCAATCTCATTAAATAATTACGAAAGCTTTTCCTTAGTTAGCTACCCAGTATAAGAATCACTTCACTAACTTGATAATGCACTAAATTGTCTGTGATAATATTTTACCTCACGTCGTTTCAAAGTAGAAGGTTTGTTAAATCTTAGCTTTACTGCGGAAGTCCTTTGCAGAGCATGCACTATCAACTTTTACAGACATGCGACTGCAAAGGCAAGCACATCCATCATTTGCTTTTTCACCGGGATTCGAAAAACTGCGAAATAGTTGTAATTTAAGCGGACCTAATACATGTGAAGGTAATCGTATTTGAGAATTGAGGGTAGTGTGATGTGAATTAACAATGCCGTGCATCGCATGTAGATATCTACACCCTTCAGTTAAACTAAGCAACATTCAAAGCTTCGGCGCCCAATATTAGAATCCACAACCAGTCGTTCAGTGACCAGTAGCTGCAGCTAGTCTTTTCTTGACGTAAATATCGACTCAAAATATTTTTTTTATGGTGCATATCAAATGCTTGGGTTATAGTTCCTATGGAAAACTCTCCGTAGAAAGTTTTAGTTTATAAATTTTCGTAAGTTTACACTGTTTGTTCACATTTTTTTTTGGGCGAATAACTACAAATTATGGCAGAAACGCAAAAAATGCAGCGAAGATGGATTGGCTCTTGTTGTTTCAAAATTTTAAAAAATGTTCATTTAATAAATTCTATTTTTCTTTACAAGCGAATGATTATGTTGCTATGAAAGCGATTTTTAAAGAGACTCGCCATGCTCGAGATCATCATTTATGATTATTTATGAAAGTAGTTTTCTAATATCAAGTCTTGTACTTTTGCTATATCCTGACAAACATGGTGAAAAAGAAGTTCTATTCCTTATTGGTCTGTTCCAGTCCACTGTATCAAGTTGATAAAAGGTACAGATTGACTATAATTATGTAAACTATGCAGAAGAAGAAGGATATGTCAAAGCATTCATTTAAAAAGTCGTCGTCGTGTGTCTCTTCGGTAGTTGCGAACAGAAAGAAAGCACATAAGGTACGTATGCATATGTAAATACTGACTTACCAACTATTAATTTGCTGCTAACATCAATCAAATCACTTTGACAAGTTAAGTCAAGAGCTGTACTGTAATTATATTGCGAAAATTTCGTAAAGATTTCCATAAAGTTAAACTCGAACCAAACATTAGCGAAGTCGGTCAAAGTAAAATGTTTAAGTAAGATTTTAATCGCATAAATGATTCCATACTGTAACAGAAAGCATATTTACGAATAGGTAGAGATGCAGATTTGGTAAATATTTATGAAATGCTTCTTAAAGTCATATGTGTAATCTACATGTGGAAAATAGTTAGTTACCTGAGCATTCTTATCTTGAAGAGACATTAATTTATTAGTCATGCGATAAAGAATTGTAGATAAAATTCCTTCAATGTATTCTCTGTGTAGATGGTTTTCCATAGAGTTGTGGCTAATTACCGTTGTTGTTGTTGGTTTCGTAAACATCAAATTATTATCAAATATATATCGTAAAGACGGTGCCATATCATTAAATATACTATAGTCAAAGAAATTTGCCAGAAGCTGAAAGTTGATATTGTAAGCAAATATAGTAGTAGTAGTAGTAGTAGTCGCAGTAGCAGTAGTAGTAGTACAGGGAATATTACTATGGTCGCTCTGGCTATTAATAACGTTGTGTAATCTATCTTGTTTGGCATTTTGCACGATGAAATGACATAGACATTTGGCGGCCTGTTCTCTGACACGAACATCATCGTCGCCAATCAATTGCAAAAGTTCATCCATAAATGAATTCTAAATAAAAATGAGAAAAGACCATAAAGAAATCAACGGAAACAGTCTAAACTAAACTCTGCAAATGTACATATGCATGAGTGTACAGACGACGAGTATGTCGGTGCATGTTCTTAGATAATCATTGCTATGCTCTTTCACTGATTTTTTTCTATTTGCAAATATTCAAAAAGTTTTGCGAAATGAGAATTTTAAAAGCAAATCAACAAATAAAAACAAACACAAACTCACATACATTTCACTCAATATACGCAACACTCAATAAATTGTATTTATTGGATTTTTTTTTTTTTTGTTTTGATTATTTTTTGTTCTTTTTTTTTTTTTTTAATACACATATTTACTTTTACTTCAATTTCTACCCTACATGCACTTATATATGCATTTATTCTCAAAATACCATCAGTGCATGCATGCTTGAAGGCACAAAACGCCAATAAACATGAGCACAACTCTATTTACATAAACAGTTTTTGGTTCGTTGCTAAGTAAAATTAAATGGACGAAATTCTGTAACTATCCAAAGAAATACATTGAACATGGAAATTATTGCGTTTGCACAAACACATGCACAAGCTTCATTTGCAAATAAAAGTGTTATTACATGATCGGTACTAACTATTAGGTAGTTCACTCAGGAGTCTTTAGATGGCTTTTGACACTGGTATTTATGTGTAACACAAAACGCTTGTTGCTAAGAGACGTATTCTAATCTATCTTCTATGGTCCTAGCCGTCTAAATGTAAGAATCGTAAAGTCCCTGCGAGCCAAAGATCAGTGCTTTCACTTTGGGTTGAAGGCGAAGTCCTGCAAATACTGCTCGAAGCATCTACACAGTACGTGGACAAATTGTTATACGTAAAGGCGCTGCTCGCCCCTCATGCTTAACTACGACATTTCCATGCTTGAAGACGATTTTCTTACTAAAGGCGATAAGAATTTCGTTATTCGAATAGGCGAATAAAACAAGGCGATTTTCTACTCAAGTTTTAGTCCTAATTTCTTAGTCTTCTTGCTCGATTCTCTTCTCTCTGCCTCCCATAGCGCAGTCCTCTCTTGCATTAAACTTTTATTACTACCTTGGTTTGCTTGAGATTAACATTAACAAGAATATTTAGATCACTTTTTTTTTTTTTTGCCTTTAGCTCTTTAGGCGAGTGTTTCTGTTTTTAGTTTTGTGTCACTCATAAAACTAACTATTGAGCAAACAAACAGGCGAACGAATATGAATGCAGCACAAAAATGTTTTAAAAGGATTTTTCATTCTTTTCTCTGAATTACAAAAGTGGTGAATTTTCGTCTTCTGCATGATGGAGCAGTAAAGTAATTATGTGTATATAGCGGCTGCAGTGAAGAAAGAAGCAAATTACTAACCTTTAAAGAGCAAATATAATCCGCATTGTCGAAATCATCCCTAAAGCTATTGTAGCAGCTTTCATTATAGGTGTGCATAGCAGAAAAATTTAAATTCGAAATAACTTCAGCGTATTTAGTTTGGACCAACCAATACTTGTTGTTATGACATAGACGAAGTTTGATTAACAACAATTTCGGTGATATGAAAAATAAACGGGAACGGCAATGAACAAAAGACGATGTTGGTGCTTTTTGTTGCTGCGATTTAAGTTCTTCGGCATTATTTTTCTGGCTAGTACTATAATCAGCTCCAGTATCTCCAATACTGACTCCAGCAGTCGTTGTTCTTTTTTCATTGACTAACATTTCAGTTTCAATTGCCGAAGACAATTGTGCACAACTGCTATTGATGCTACAGTTGAATTTCGACTGCAATTGGAAAGCTTTCAACAGCATTGATATAACTTCATCATTATCTGCGAAATGTCTGAAAATATTTTTTTCGCTCGACTCTTGAAAAAAGTCGGGCAACGTCATGTCTGCATCTGATACACTTGAGAAACAGTAACAGCAGCAACTGCAGTGGTAATCTTCTCCTGCCGTCGGTTTCGTTTTTGAGTTTTCTTGACATCCCACATTTTTGTTTGGTTTCTGCCCATCTTCCTTGCTTTGTTGTCTATTGCACTGACGTGATGGTGATTTTGAGTATTTAGACATTACATACGGAAATATTTTATCGAATGTATTCAAGGCTTGTACAACCACAGTATGTATTTCGTCTTCCAGGCCCTGGCCAAATAAATAAAATGGCAACATAAAGGCAATAAAAAAAATTTATAAAACTATATCTATATATGTGCAGAGAAATCGGCACATATATATGTGTTTCGCTCCTCACGCACTAAATTGGTAGATGCGTATGAACGTGAAAGTACATCTAATGTGCGTTGCTCTTGTATGATAGGGAATTTAAAAATATACAGAATTTATATTGTCTCGGAATTTAATGCACATTGGGTAATAAAAGGCTTGAACAATTTGGACATACCCTGCTTCAGGTTTATCTATCATCAGCCTTTGAAATGGTTATGATCGCAAAAGTAGAGAACAAGAACTTGAATATCATTGAAAGGCGGCGATTAACGCCCACAGTCACTCTCAAAACCGGCCAACAAAATATATCTACAGTCCTTGGCGGATATTAATCTAAACTTGAAAGCAAATATTTCTTCGTACAATTTGTAGGGTTCCGGCAAGAGTACAAAACACATGCAATTACGAATATAATTTACACTGTTTACGTAATGGTTTGAGATTTTGTGTATTCGCGTGAAGGCGAATATAAATTTATTATTGTATCATCAAAAAATTTGCATCAAGCTGTAGTAGGCATGGCTGACATAAAATATTGAATTTAACACGCTTCTAGACGCAGAAATGATGATATAGGCTTCAAATGTAGAATGAACACTGAGAATGCCTACGGCCAAACCGGTCAAAGGACACGCCCACACTACAAGATAAAGTTAACGCATTTCTCTTTCCACAAACAAAAATATGAGTTATTTTTCTATTTCAATATAAAAGTGGTGGGTATAACAGATTCGGCCACAGAAGTATAGTGTTTTCCCATTTTTGATTTCATTAATTTCCTATTTCCAAAGTTGTTATATTACTATTATATTATATATTTCTGGCTGATCATAATGTAGTAGTACCAAGCGATTAAATAGATCCTCCAAACAAGTTGATACTTTCAACGCAACGATGTCTTAGCACAATTATTTGAAAACTAGGCTGTCTAGGCCAACTGGGTTTGCTCAAATGTCGCCACAAATTTGCCTTTCTTAATTCATCTTATAGACGTAAACATTTTCACGGTATAATTAGCTTAAAAGCAACATCTTATACAAGACTGAAAATTGTTTCCACTTACCGCGCACAAAATAGCTAACAGATACTGTAAATTGATTTTCATGTCCACAACAAGCCCAACTTGATTGGAAAGTAAATAATTTCCGATAATATTTTGAATGCCTGCCCTTAAAATAGGATCGTGATGATTATATAAATATAGCATATCCGATAAGCATTGTGTGCCATCTGCTTTCCACTTAATATTGTCTGGAAATTCCCTTTCCCTTGCATTTTCTATAATTTTAGATTTTCTTAAGGACTTCACTCTTTTTGGAGGCTTCGGCGGGAGTATTATAGGAATCGTGTCCTTATCCACATTTGAGAATTCATCTAAATCGTCAATATGGGACGTACTTAATATTTTTTTTTTGCTCTCCAAACTTTTTCGTTCATCGTAGACTTCCTTAGAAGATTTAAATAAAACAGGATCGGCACTTTTCGCTATCACTGGGTTAAAATTAAAATCATTTGAACTTTTACCGAAATGGTCGTCTTTAATTTCTAGCAACGTCACTTCTTCCGCTTCCGTCTTTAAAACGTTTAACTGCGATGAAAATGAAGATCTTCTTACGAAATCAGTCCCGTCCAAGGTATTGCCGCCACTATCAGAAGCACTTAAGTGTTCACAACCTTGTTCTATATTCGACATGCCACAGCGATCGTTGTCTTCGGATGTCTTTGTAACGCAAGTAATTATTTCCGAAGACATAAATTTTAAAGGTATTTGTAGTATTTCCGGATTTAGACGCACGCATTGGGATAAGACATTTAGACTTATACTTTTGATTGAAACTCTGACATTGGAATCGTTGCGCCTACTGTACAATGAGCCCGTTAACAAGAAACGAGCCGATATTAAACGAGCTGTATAAAAGATCAATGATTGGACGTACATAGATCCAATATCCACTGGCAATTGTGGTTCAATGCAGCTTGATGAATCTTTAAACGATGAATCATTTGCGAGAAATGGATTCCCTATGATAAAACAATTCCGAATGCAAAATGAAGCTGTTAACAATTATTTAAAAGTGATTATTAAAGAAACATTTTTATGAGATTATTAAAACGATGAACGTTGGCTTTCGGAATTCTTCTAACCAATAAACCTCTTAGTCCCGAAAAAGTTCAACTTCGATTTTCGAGTTAAATTAGCTTCATTTCAAAATGAAAGGCTCTTGCGAAGTACAACTAGTTTTATTAGATTTTTCGAATGAAAAAAGCTAGTCTACGCGGGCTTGTTTCAAAATATTTCCTCATTAAATAAATTTAAAAGGGTTTGTTTGCGCAATGGAGATAGCTAAACTTGTGCATAACCGCGGTGTTCGCACTTCTTCTACTATGGATGTAGTCTTTTGAGATTGATTCAGAATTTCGTACTGATCAGGAATATATAACCTTTATGAGGCTCTGAAGATCCCTTCTAAATGTTGCGAACAGAACGTACCTACAAATCGATACCAACCTTTGTCTCTTTCAAATCCAAAAAAAAAAAAAAAACAGTTATTGTTTCACGAAAAGTAATAACCCGATTAAAAATATTTTGCCAGAAAAATATGACGACATGTCCGCTATGGTAAATTCTAAAAATGTTGTAAAGTCTACTCTACTTACTAATTGATCTCTTTAAAGGAGTGCTTTCCATTGGAAATTCTTTATAGCTTTCAAAGTCCTTAGCTTTATTGTATGAAACTTCGTTACTGTCAAATCCATCCAATATAGCGGTTGACGGTGTCGGAAATGTTTTGCTTGTATCAGGCGAAGACACATCAATTACTTCGATATCGGACTCCAAGCGTTTACTATCACTGGTGGCAGTAGAAGTAAGCGATGCCGTATCTGTTGCTGTAGGCGATCGAAGTTTCGATGAATGACGAAACAATTTTGAAACAGACTCAGAAGCTGGAAAAAAGCAAAAGGAAAAAATAAATAACATCAACTTGAAATAATATTTAGAAGCTATGTTAACAAGTGTATTAATCGTAATGGAGCTAATAATTATAGCAAAAAATACATGTGCGTAAATTTAACAGATAGTTAATGGGAAAGCAATTTTAACTACATTAGCCTACAAGATATTAAAAAGAAGAATATATTTGGAAAACGTCTAACCTAACTATTATTGATTGATACTCGTGTACAAATATTTTCACACATATATTTTTGGCAGTCTCATAAAAGAGATATGTAGATATATATACATAACTCATTTATTAGATCTACTTTAATGGTCCTACATTTGGCGGAGATGCTGCGTAGAAAACGAATGCCTTTGCATTTTACTTTTGTGCATTTGTGTACAGTATCTCAGGATTAAACTGTCAGTTTAACACTAAGTCTTCAAGTACGAATATGAAAATAGTTACCCTTGTGCTTCGTTAGAGATAAAAAACGAAAATTAAATTAATAACCGAAGAAAAAATAAACGAACATATCTGTTGATTCTATTTTGTTTTCTGCAACTAATTAAAAATTATTTCTGATCCCTTGCGAATTGACGATAAAAACAAAATTAGGTTTTCATATCACGTCAGTAAGTCAGACTGAAGTACACATTTGTAATTTCGTTTCTTATTTACCTGCATTGATGTTGTTAAAGAAAGTTTGAAACGCATCAGTGCTGCTATTACTGCTACTTGATTTATTTGCAGACAATATAATGCTGTCATTCTTTCTTTTATTACGTTCATTAACATATCCGTCGTCGGCAGCAACAGCCTGATTAATTCCTTCAACAACTAAGCCTCTTGAGATATTTGCTTTAAATTCAATGCTATTGACAGAATCCGTGTCGATGTTGCACAATTGATTTGACTTTTCATCAGAAAAGTTGACAAGCAAACTTCGTGAGTACGTCCTTTCGTCGCAATGCCCGGAAATAGCGTCGTTGCTATTGTCGTCAATTGTAGAATCTAACGACAATGCAGTGGAGTTAGTAGTTGTGGTTAAATCCATATTTGCCAACGATGAATGCGTATGTTGTTGCGTTTCATTTATTTCAGACAAAGTTGTAAAATCGTCATCATCGTCTTGTGCTTCCTCATCTACATAATCTATGTCGACACATTCACTAACACTACGTGCAGTGTGTCTTTTATGAGGTAGTTGTCCCTCCCTCTCTGGTTCGTGCTCCTCCTGTTGTTGTTGCTTACACGTTTCTGTTCGCCATGCAATGTCGCTTGAAACCCGCATCGCGCTACCTATTTGATTTTCATATTTATTTGGAAAAAATAAACTAGACTAGTTCTTTCTTAATTTTCTTTCTTCATTTAATGCATTCCGATAAACGTCTTAAAATTAAAAGCAATTTTAATTTGAATATTGCTACGCTTTTGAAATTTTAGATTAATTGCAAAATTATCTCGGGTTACGAAAACAGGATGTGCATAACTAAGCAACATCAAAAGATAGCGCATGGCTATATGAGATCAGAAAACGCTTGAGTGAAATACAGCTCAAATCGTATCATTTGAATTTAAACCGACCCAAGGGAAAGCTGACAAATGTAACGAAAACGAGACTGCTCAAAAATGAATGACGTCAATCTCAATTATATATAATAATAATAATATCGTTAGCAATCTCGATAAGTTTGCAATGAGCGAAATCGCACACAAAGTATAACGAATGATCTTTACACGCTAACGTTTAGCAGAAACGTCTGTCAGTGACTAAAGAACTGTATAGATCTCCTTGACGGCATTTCGTGGGTATCCCATTATAAACAATCCTCAGCGAACTCTAACTGGAAGATATTGCAATTTACCAAACACCATTTACCCATTCGTATACAACAAGATCGTCAGCAGACATCAAAGGCAAAGATCATTAGCTCCGTTTATTTTGTTACGCCGAGCGTTGTATATATATATATATGTTGTCTACTTTTGATAACACAGCAAGAAAACAGAAATTTAAGCAATTTTTGCAAGCAGTTACGCATTGTTTTTAAGCGGCATTTGAAAAATACTAAATTTCCCTGTCAATTAATGCACCGAAACCCGGGTGACCCCGGGCTAACTAACTCTTTTGGCTTCCCTCGTGTAGGAGATAATGCCAGCGTTTTTCTGTTCAAAAAATTCATGTGTGTAGCAATTTTGCCATGATATTTTTTTCTCTTAAAAGCAGATAATTACAGATAAATATGATAATTTAATTCCTGTACAAAAAGGATTAGGAAATTTATTTGCTTATAATTTCTACTTTAGCAAAACAACGAATATGAATATATAAAGCGGCTCATATTTAGCGGCTTACCTTTTGTTCGATCTTTTGGACTATCCCCCGAAATAGTTGCATGGAACGAAGCTCTAGCTGGCGAGTTAAAGCTTGAGGAGCAATTTTCTTCTTCTGAATTATATAAATTTAATATTTGATTTTTTAAGGTGTTCGGTTTCTTCAAAACAACAGCATGTTGTAGGCTTTTATCAACAATTATATGTTTAAGCAGCACTCCAATATTTTTCTGCTGACTGTTATCATTGCTTGTTGAACCGTTCGTACACTGAAGTACAGCATTAATAACCTCAAGTGATGCGTTAATGATAGTATGATTTTGTGTTGAGCTGGATCTAACCAGATACAGGCAATAATCATAGATTTCAAGAATTTGATAGAACTCTCCCGAATTCAGATTCTCTGAAGATTTTGAGAATGAATGAGAACTATCACTGTCGTTCCAGCGCTCATCAGCAAATGTCCGCACAATTGTTGGAATGAGTTGTCGTAAAAAACCTAAAGCACCAATAATTGTAGTGTTTTGTTGATCAGTTAAAAGTAAATCTGTAAAAAATGCTTTCGATACATTTTTCTAGCGAATATTATTTTAAAAACAATACCCATTATTTTGTTTAAAGCGTATTCGCCCATTAATTTCTTATTTCGAGCATGTTCTATTAAATTGATGCAATTTTGGGCAGACGATCTTCTCTTAACGGGGCAATCAGAGCTTACGTTAAATATGAAAATCTAAAATTTATCCCAATTGTTACAAATTCAAAATTCAAATAGCCAAGCATTACCTCGAACAATTTACATGTTTCACTGTCTGTGAGACCCTGCTGAACATATTTGCCAAATTTAACCACAAATTCGCTAAGAGTTTCTTGAAGTTGAGTTTCCTTGCGTTTAGCTATAACTTGCATGCAAAGCAATAAATTTTGAGCATACCATCGTATATGATGTTCCCGTATATTTTGCGCGTAATATGCAAATATTTTTAAACATATACGCAAGGATCTGAATTTGAATAATGGCAATATTAATTTAAGAGAAAAATGATTAAAGTTAGATATAAATTATATTACCTTTGGTTGCCATTTCTTTTAATTTCGCCATATAAATCCATTAAGATGCGATTAACCCGCGTTCGCTCCAGCACTCGAAATATTTTGTTTAAATTCTCTTCAGCACTCATACGAATTATCGAATCCAAATCTTCACAAAACAATAGCAATACATTGGTGGCCTTACTTATATAAGTAGCATAATTGAGCTGAGTAGCCATTGCCGGTGCAGTGATAAATTCGGCAATGCGTTGGAAGCAAGCAATTTTCTCCTCTTGGCTTTAATTGAACAGCAATTTTAATTTTGTAAGATAATATTGAATCTGTAAAGTGCTTATGTTGAATAAATATATTCGTTTTAATTAATCGTGATGGAACGGATTTCGTAATCATACACTTGCCTAAGCTTTGTCTTTGAACCGAATTGTAATTCATAGCTATAAAGATAAAAAAAAAACTGCTCCAATAATACGATAAAAATCAACATATTGGCCATAATCCATTTCGAAGCGACACATAGCAAGCCAAACAGGTCAAGCCGGTAGCTAACGAACCCAAGACTCACTCTGCTTACCCACACTAAGTCGCTTATAAAATGGAGCTACATTCAATTCCACAAGCTCAAATCCTATTTTGGAATTTTTGCAATAACAATATTTCTTTATCTTTTTATCCATTCGATATAAACACTTTACAAATTGAAATAAATGAGAGCGAGTTCGCAGCCAAAAAAACAATAGTCCAACACTCACCTGCATTCGGTATTTCTCAACTGGTCAATAATTTCTGTAAAGGTATTTACAATATTCGCCTTATCCATCACAGGTTATTGGAACTAATGCATTAAGCATTAAATCTATTACAGTAGTTGAAAGTTTGTAAAAATTTCCCCGAATTTATTTATTTTATTGCAAAAGTTCTTTATTCTTCTGTTTGTTTTTGTTTTCTCGTTTATTTTCCTTGCCATTGCCATTTTTATTTACCATACATTGCGCAACGTACGTTAAGATATCGACACTGGTTTTGCTTAAACGGAATGAAACGGGTATGAAACAATTCGAAGAAAGACATTTAGGTTCTAGTTCACATAACTCGTCCACTTGAACGTAATATATTCCAAACCAGAAACCACATGCCTGTTTAGTTTCGCAGAGAGCTTTTGATTGTTAAAGGCAGCGAAAGAAAATGGGAAAATTTTCGATAAAGCTTAAACCAAATATAAAGTTCGTAAAGCATTTTATTTAAGGCCATACGGCCACTAAAGAGTAACTGAAGTAAAGTTAAGTAAAGTTATGACAGTAAAGTTATTGAGCTAGCGTAAAATGCCACTGCGTCTATACTGCATGTCAGGGTTTTTAGTTATTTACTCCTTTAAGCAATTACGTCGTCAGAAAGCAATAATGACGACTTCTTCCTTTTTAGAATAACATTCTCAAACTTCTTAATTTTAAGCACTATTTTATCAGTTAAGAGCACAATAAATTTATCGCGCATGTAAATTATTAGTTAAAAAATCTACTTACGTGGCATACATATTATAATATTTGGGTAGCAAAAAATAAAATACTTTCACGCTAAATTCCTGGGACTTTATTTGGGTTTTTTCAATATTCTTCCTTATGGAAGAAATGGAGACAATACAATGAATGCGCAGACATTGGTTTTCTAAATGGAACTGGGTACTAAAAGAAGAACATTTAAAGTTGTCTGGAGCGCATTGTGATTATAGTGATTATAAGGAAAATGAAAATCCACAAGAAAGTACTCGCAAACCCCAAATACACATCCATTACAGTAATACCCCAACCCCGCGTTAATACGGAACGCATTGCTGCTGTAGCCAAAGTTAAGGGTAAGCCGTACGCAATCATCCTGCAAAAAATAGGATCATATTATGATCGAAATTGTGTACGCTAGATATATAACATTTACCTCAATGGCGTCACCATTCCCTCGAGAGGCCACATTACTCCCGATAAAAGCAATATAGGATAAAATGAACCCAATGCCACTTGTACGGCAGTACGTTCCAAATCGCATACGGCAGATATAGAAAAACCAAAACACATGCCGCATAAGCCTTGCAGCAAAGTTAAAGCCGTTAAAATTATTAAACTGCCTTTACTTTCAAGTCCAAAAATATTAAACATAAACACTAACACCAACGCCGTTTGAAGACACATCACCATAAGTTGAGTAATGATATGGGAAAGCAAAATTTCAAAAACTGTTACGCCAGCCACTAAGGATCGATCATATAGACCCTGTAGAGGAGAAATTGATAAAGAAAGAGTAAAGAGATAACCTATGTCAAGGAATATTTAATTTAAATTCATAACGCAAGCGCGACAAAATGATTTAACCTCCTCCCTATCTCCAACTTCCACTTTTTAAATAATCAAAGCAAAATATCGGCCCTTTGATTGGTGGCAGGCGATATGAAATATTTTAAAGCAGACAGCGGTTGGAGGTCGTACGGATATACTAGAGGAAAAATGAGAACCGCTAAAGCGAGTCAACTGCTTCAAGTTAATAATGAAGCTTGAAGGTAAAAAACGTGGCGTATACAAATATAGAGGACACCCGTCGTAAATTTAAGAAACCAAATTACGAAAATTCTCTCACCTCAACACGTTCAACGATTAAAGCCGATGACGTCAATGCAACAGCCAAGAAGAACACAACACTATAAAATTCGTTAATAATTGCATCGATTCGTCGATAGGCTTACAAATTTCAACTTACGTCACTATAACACCTGGTGCTACAAAGTCTGTAAATGTGGGCGCCATACTCCCATAAATGGGTTCTTCAAATCTTATTGGCAAATCTCCATGTTTAGGGTTCTGACCGCATTGTTCGAGAAGAAGCACAGCAAAATTGCGGAACGCCAGTTGTATGTCGCGATACAGCATAAGACCAACTTGCTGATTAGACATATCTAGCCAAACTTGAATTTCCGATTTTTCAAGAATTTCATCATCAGCCAAATGTCCTTCGACAGGAAAAGCAGAACATTGCATATAACAGTTCGAAAAATGAATTTAAAATAAATACCGATAAGTGATCTCGTCTTAAATGCTTCAGTAAATTCTTTCCTAATGTATATAGCGCCCCAAGCGCGGCCTGTGACTACTTCATGTTTTGCTTCTTCCAAATCTGTATAAAATAATTTAATTACAGTTGTATTCAGATGACTTAAGTAACGGCAGCCTAATTTAGTGAAGCGACAGCCATCATCCCAATCGCAAACTTTCTAACAAATTAATACATATCTCAGAAAATGTTTACGGATTTTGCAAAATTAATATCACCGTGTCGCGCATATCTGCTTCTTCATTCACGATAGCCACATTTAAGTCACGCGGATTGTGTCCTATAGCCAAGCAAAAGAGTATCACTTGAAAAACCGGTAAAAGGACCATGAAAAATAATTGACCTGGACTCCGCCACATGTGCAATAAATTCTTAAGTATTAAGGCCCGCAATTTGTTAAATGAGTTAACCTACGATCGCATGTAAATAACATTATATTGAACCGCTTCGGTAAAATATATGGCTTCTCTTACTTTCTCAGATTTTTCTTTAACGGTCGTGTTTTTTTTTAGACGTTTACTACGGCGCGGTGGGTCGTAAAATTCTTGCAACACCTAATATAAAATACATAGGTTATATACAATGTTACAAATATGTAAATATATGCTGAAATTCAAGTGAATAAAATCGAAAAATTTACATATCTAAGAGCTAGTCGTGGAACATAATTTCCAACAATTCAAAGTAATAGAAAAAACTGTTTTTACCAAATTTCACCCTGGATATAAAGTTATCGGGATACATCAAGCTTTTTTATCAATTTTCACTATAATTGACCCTTAATTTTGTGTATATCCACCCGCGAAGGATGAGTGCAAGCTTCAGAAGAAACCTCCAGCGCAGGTAAAAGGTTTATATATATATATATATATATATATATGTAAATATATGTATATATTCTTCATCATTATCACATTTAGAATACGTTGTTGAGTTACCAGTTTGATATTTGATGTTGTACTGTGGGCGTGTTGTTTCATTTTTTATGAAAACATTCACTAAATAAATTTCATCGCAAATCTTGGTGATACTGCTCGGTAATATAGTTGAAAGTAGGACCATGGGTTGGTTTAACGGCTTACGTTGATTTAAAATTGTTGCTACTTTTTCTTTCACTCAATTTCATTTTTCTCTTTTCTCGCTTTGGTTCGCTATGAATACGACGAATAACGACGACATAGAGTTCTTCTCTTTCCCAGATTAACAGGTAAAAATAAATGCGAATTATTTATATTGAGATTAATCAGGGTTAAAGAGTCGCGATATGTCTACTATATGTCTAGTACTGCGATGCCAGGACTCATTCAAATGTAAGAATTTTTATGACTCAGCAATTTGATCACCTTTTCTTAACCATTGAACGTTTACAAACGGTTTTGTAGCGAAGTTAAAGAAGTAGGAAAGGTGACAGCGAGGGTTTCTTCTTATTCTGTACTTTAACGCGAAAAATTCCTAATTTCTGTGTTATCTGAACAGAATTGCGTGCTTCTATCCTACATGTTCACTATAACTGCTTTTAAGATAACAATATCTACGGTACTCTATGCAAAATTTAATTAGTAAGCAAAACTTGTACAACGAACCGAATAGATAGATCCAGATGATGCTTGTAATTGTTCTTTGCCTAAGGATTTGGAACGGGTTTTCCGAAATTTTCGACTGGATTCAGGTTTACTCATTTCACTGGAATGCAAAAAAACAAGAAGGCGATTAATTGCATGTCATTTATATTTATGAGTACGCGTTGATAAAACAATCGCGGATATAATATATATAAAATAGGTTAGCTAAGGCATGAAACGGACTAACGAGCAATATAAATCCATGAATTACAAGTCCAATGAGATAATTGGTTTACACTTAAGAATTAATCTTCTTCGAAAATTTATGAGAAAACGCCACTATGCGAAATTCTCTGTTTGTTTTCGAGTATTTCAAGTTTTCAATGGAAGAAAGTTTTTGGAAATTATAGAATTCTTCCCAATCAATTTGGCCCAACCTTCGAAGCACTTAAGAATCGGCTGCAGAGAAGTTTCTTCTCTCTATTAAAGCTCTTCTGATTTGCAATTTTGATAAAATAACATAGGATTGTTTCATTTATATTCAGATTTCTTTTTGGCGAATCAGACATCGTTGCAACGGTTGATGTTTCGGGAAAACTAATAAATTGACAATCGTATAGCTCTTGTATTATTTAGGAGCAATTAATACTGCCTAAAAAGGGGGATGTATTAGGAGAGTGATTTATAATAACTCTCTTTTATCGTTGCATAACTTGAAATAATAATAATTTTGAAATATTATAAACATGAGGAACTGGGAGAAAGTCAATGTGAGAGAAGATACCTGAATTCCTGTTGCGCCATAAGAATTTTTATCGACTGAAGACGTGATAACTTTAGAAAAACTTCTTCTAGGTTTTTGCACTTGTAAGCGGATAATAATGCATCAGGTGAATCTTCAGCTAATAAACGACCAGAACGCATCAGACCAATCTGATTTGCAAATTCATCACAATTATGGCAAGAAATATACAAAAAATTTGCAATATTACCATATGCGCTTGTCTTGCCTCCTCTATGTAATGAGTTGTAATGATAATTGTTTGATGGCTAGTTTTTGTTATAGCCGTTAGATGATTCCATATATTCTGTCTTAGCAAAGGATCCACTCCTACTGTGGGTTCATCTAAAATCAATAACTCTGGATCATGCAAAAGGGCAACAGCGAACGATACCCGCCTTTGTTGGCCGCCACTAAGATGTTTGACTGAACGTTTCCCCGAGGGCAAGTCCAAGAACTTCAATAAAGCTTCTAAACGTTCTTCAATCGTTTTCCTCTTCATGCCGAAAATCCATCCGAAGTACAATAAAGTTTCTTTAATGGTAAATCCGTCATATAAAGCGGTTTCCTGTGGCATATAACCAACGCGTTTACCAGGCACACCAGACCGACGGCTTCCTGGTACACCACCCAATACATAAATTTCTCCCGAGTCGAGACGCCGCCGTCCAACAATACATGATAGCAAAGTAGTTTTTCCACAACCGGACGCACCAAGAAGACCGTAACTGCAAAGTCAAGTTAACAAATTTCGTTAATTTCTGGTTTTAATAAAAGTGTTTGGGATCAGAAAAAAATTATATATTATTTATGTATTTCTTAGTTAAAAAGTTTCATTTATGATCCAATTCAATACTGGTCAGCGACTACATCTTCTATTCGATATGGCGGGCGCGAAAATTGTGTGTGTAAATATTATTCTAAAAAATTGTGAACGATTAAAAGCGCTTCGACGTCTACTTTTATTGACATATAAAAATGTTAATATGCCTGTAAATGTCCTTCAAAGGCAAAATTATTTTTCGCTATGCGAAAATGTGCACTAGTTTTTAGTAGCTAAGGTGTTCACTTATGGAATTGAAGAGGCGATAAGGTTTGCGAGAATATTGTGAGAATTAAATATGTTCTTTCGTGAGTGCTATGTTGAAGTTTGATAGAATCAGGAAATATTGGCATAGAATTTACTCACATTGTACCCTTTGTTACTGTCATAGTTAGGTTGTTTAAAACAATAACAGGATGTTTTTTTTTGCCAAATGCCTTATATGCTTGATGTATAGACACGGCTGCTTCTGAATTAATTTCCCATTCGTCATCATAAGGTTTAGGCGTATCAGGCGCCCTGAACATAGAAGACAATTGGCGAATGATTAGCAAGTTTAAGGAAGTGCTTGAGTAACATATTAATAACCAGATTTAGTTTTTCCGCCGCATGAGATTCTGCTAATTACTGCATGTTTGGTGCATTGGTGGTATTTTGATTCCATTTAGCAATAATTTTATTCTTTTCTTTTACTCATCGACTTACCTGACTTCATCCGTCATCTCGTTTAGTTTATCAGGTGCTTACGGGTCGAGAGATGAATACAATTTTCACAATTTCCATTTGAAAAAATATTAAAATGATGAAAAAAAATATATATGGACGAAATTATATTAGAAACGGAAGCAGTGTGAGTGGAAAATTGTTTAATATTTTTGGTTATGTTATAATAATTTGAATGACTGACTGTCAGTAAATATTTGTAAGTGTTGAAAAAATTATTTTAAAAAAAAACCGAAGAATTTTACTCAACGATCTGTAAGATCGGAGATCTTTAATTTTTTCGCTACCATGCAAAGTGCTTTGAAGTTTTTCATCACTTTGGCAATCGATTTTATATCAAAACAGAAGAAAGATATACTCCCTTGCCGTTCAATGTATGTGTAATCTTTGCGTTCCTTTAGTTTACAAACTTTCATATTTGTGCAGCTTCGGCTCATTTCATTCCACTTTTTTATAGGGATTTGCATGAGAAATTCTACTTATTACCAACTCAGCATTGCGGCGTATAAAAGAAAACAAACAAACTTGACACAATGCATTTTTTAATCGATTTTATTTGGAAAACAAAAGTATGAGTACACTACTCATAGTAAAAATATGTACACAATATCCATAATGAATTAATGACAATTTAAAGATACGCTCTAAAGATAGAAAATCAATTTTCGCAAAGTTATAAAAAATCACACGACGTATTACGCTAATGAATCCCCCGTACAAATAATTATTGCTAAAATACTTATAATAAGAAACATTTATATCAAAGGTTTAGAGAAACTTAACAACTAAAACCGGAAGGAAAAGGATAAAAAGAAAGAAATCAAATTAATCACAGTCTAGTAAGCCGACAAGATAGTGGATAAATTTGAGACCCTTCTCTCTCTCGCATTTTAGGAAAACATTTAGAAATGCAAAATAGAAAAAATTTACGGAATTAGTGTAAAGGTAAGTGACGCATTGGGCGCGATGTGATATTCAAAGGCAAAAAAAGACAAAAAAAAAAGATACCCAAGACGATTGGGCAAGCAATTATAATATGAGAGGAAATTAATTACAATAGAATGTAAGTACAAGGCACCTTTTTCTATATACATAAGTATTTTTTACATCATCTGAAAATGAAAATTTGACTTCTTAACTTAAGCTACTTACACTAAATTAAAAAGATTTGTGTGTGCACTCAGTATCTGAAGGCATTCTCTTCTCTTGCAGGAATTATATTTCTAATTGGAATATATGTTAATTCAGGAGGGAGATTATGAACTCCTTAACCTTGTCGAGAACGCATTGCCACTAAGGTCATTATAAGGAAACCCAAAATCCATGCTAGAGTACTTAAAAAGCCCATATAAACTTGCGTTGCCATCACACCCCATCCACGCGTCAGTATCGAACGTAGTGATGACGTCGCAAGAGTTAAAGGTAAACAATAAGATATATATCTGAAAAAATGCAACGCTTTTATTATTAAAGAACATATAGCGACAATATAGGATTCACCTTAATACCAGGGGCATACCCTCAATGGGCCATATGACACCCGACAAGAGAAGCGTAGGATAAAATGATCCTAGTGCCAATTGGATGGCAGTCCGTTCCAAATCACAAACAGATGATATGAAAAAACCAAAACACATTCCACACAAGCCCTGCAGCAATGTTAATAAGATGACCCAGGCGAGATTGCCTTTGTTTTCAACACCGAAAACGCATAACATAAATATTAGCACCAACGCCGTTTGGCCGCACATCACAATGAATTGAGTCACGATATGGGAGAATAAAATTTCACCGGGTGTTACACCGGCTACCCATGAACGATCGAACAGTCCCTGTAAAAAAGAGAAACAATGATTGCACTAAAAATAAACTGATCGTCTCGTGAAGAACGATTTTTAAAATAAATCAATGTCTCGCGAATAAATGTCAATATCGCAGATAAAACAAACTCGCATAGATGGGTATTTTATAATGTCTGCTATAAATAGCAAGGACTCCACTAAGATTGAATAATTAATCATCAGTAAAAGATAAATGAACGATGAAGTTGCAATTAAGAAAAGCTGTTCTCACCTCAGTGCGTTCAATGATTAAAGCAGACGACGTCAATGCGACAGCCAAAAAGAAGACGATACTGTAAATAGTCATGATGAAGAAAATTGCGATTACATTCGATAAGCTTCTAAACAGCTAACTTACGTTATTATGACACCCGGCGCTACAAAGTCGGTAAATCTAGGTTCCATAGTACCATAAATGGGCTCTTTAAACTGTATCGGCAAGTCGCCCAATTTAGGATTGTTACCGCATTGCTCGAGGAGAATCATTGCAAAATCGCGGAATGCAAATTGTATGTCACGATTTAGCATAACACCGACTTGTTGATTCGACATGTCTAGCCAAACTTTAATTTCAGATTGATCTATAGTCTCCTCGTCAGCGTCGCGACCTTTCAGAATAAACGCAATTAGATGAAAAAAATAAGGTGGAATAACTTAGACAACTACCTAAGGCTGCCCTCGCGGTAAAAGCATCAGTAAAATTGTCTGTTATATAGATAGCACCCCAAGCATTCCCTTTTCGTACTGCATCTTTCGCTTCTTCCACATCCGCATAAAAGTTTTTGATTACAGTCTTATTCAGATGACTTAAATATCGGCAACCCAGGTTGGTGAAGTGACAGCCATCATTCCATTGACAAGTTTCCTAACGTATGCAATTGGCTATTAAAAAAATATTTGTATGTTTAGATTTTGCAAATTTAATGTTACCGTATCGTTCATTTCTCCATTAACAATGGCCAAGTTTAAATTTGTCGGATCGCGGCCAATGGCTAAACAGAACAATATTACCTGGATGACGGGCAAAACAAATATGAAAAGTATTACGCCTACATTACGCCACATGCGTAACAAATTTTTGGTTATGAGCGCCCTGATTTTACCCGACGATGTCAACTGCAATCAAATATTGATGGTATCGGAAATCGGCCGGGATAGTATATTGTACACTTACTTTGCTAACTCTTTGATACCATTCTTCCACATTCCTCTCTTCTTTGGGACGCTTGCTTGGCGGAGGCGGGTCGTAAGGTTCTTGCATTAACTAATGTGGAGCAAACAATGAGCAAAATTATAAAAATGGATTTGTAAGATAAGCGTCGAGTTCGATTTCAAGTCTATAAAGGACCTTCTATGGTATGTCATACAGAAAATAACGAAAATAATTTTCATCAATAACTAGACTGCGCAAAAGCGGCCTCATAAGTATGTGGATAAACTAGTATTAAAAATTTGATTAGTATTTTTTCCTAAAACTACGCTTACGATAACCTAAAGACTACATCTATAGTTTAAAGCCAGAGTATAGGTTTCACTTTGCATGAAAATAACAAAAAGATAGACTCCGTCCGTGTGTCCATGTTTTGGAAAATGTCTGGCGATAATTGAACGTATCGTTGAAATATTCGTAATAATGAATGTTTTGATTGTAGGAGAATTTGCGAAAAATTACTTAAATCGAGGCTGAAGAATAGCTACAGAAGAAATTTTTATAATTATATAACTAATTCTAACTTCTCCTAATCGTGTAAAATGCGGCTTAATATCTGTGGTGTTTACCGACATCTGCCTAACTTGGATTTTGTTCTATCGCCATTATGTCGACGGTTCAGACTCAACTGCTCTGGAAAGCAACAACATTCAGTTATCGTAAATCTGCTTTGTATACTCTGGAATAGATGCTAAGTAATCATCTTGCTGACGTTTTTTGCTATGCGTTTTCATTTTTATATAAAGGAATCGTAGGACAAGGTTAACAAAAACATTTTACATATAATAAAATTGATTGATGATAACAAACCGTAAACACAGATCCAGTAGATTCAATAAGATTCTCTTTACTTTGGAAATTGAGTCCGACCACTCCTTCTTCTCGACTGGAACTAGGTGTATCAATTTTACTGCCGAAACCCAAGGCATGAAATGAAATATTATTACTGTTAGTTGTTTGCCGTTATATAAGTGCAATAGAGGTGCGCAGCACTCAGTAGACAGATACAGACAAAAAGTCACAGATTTAACAGATGATAGTTACACATATACACAGTTATGCGGATGAAGTGAAATTGTGTGATTCCAAGCAGGCACAGACCACACAAGAGTATTAGGAAAGAAGTATTTTTTCATATTTCATACAACAAATTTTTACCAATTATAATAGAGAAGTAGATGAGTTGTGTTCCATTTTGTAGTAGTGATGTTGAAGAGAGATGTGTTTTTATATATGAAGTTTTTTTTTTTTTTTTGTTTGTTTACGGAAAATAAAATCAACAAAGTTGCAAAAAATAAAAGTAAAAAACAAAATGTTTATTTTAGTTTTACATTTATAAATCATGTGTGTAAGTTGGTGCATGCAATGATAATTAAAAATGACTTTTATTTGCTTCGTTTTTTTTTTTCTTTGAATTTTTCGAGTGAAACCATTACAAATTCTATATTCGCCTCAGGGCAAACCCTGGAGAACATTTCCCATCAATTTTTTTTTTCAGCGCCCCTTTAGATATGCTCTTATACTTCATATATTTATAGTTGCTTTTTAGAAATCGAATAAGAGCGTAAGTGAAAAATGAATGCATATTTGGCAACTGAGGAATATCAAGCAGAGACAGACGGAAGGACATAAATTCTCTGGCAATGAATATGAAAGACGAAATTTGTAAAATGTACTCGTGTGCGCCTGGGGAAACTTACTTGAACTGTACTTGAGCCATTATAATTTTGTTAGACTGTAGACGCGATAGCTTGAGAAATACCTCCTCGAGGCTATTACACTTATAAGCGGACAATAAAGCGCTAGGAGAATCCTCAGCTAATAACCGACCTGAACGCATCAACCCAATCTGAAATTAATAAAAAATTATGATAAACGTATTGAAAATGAAGAATGTATTTCTATCTCTCACCGTGTGCGCTTGCCGTGCTTCTTCGATGTAGTGTGTTGTGATTATAACTGTTTTTTGACCTGATTTTGTTATATGTACTAGATGGTTCCATATACTTTGCCTCAGCAAAGGATCCACTCCCACCGTAGGCTCATCTAAAATCAACAACTCCGGATCATGCAAGAGGGCAACAGCGAACGATACACGCCTCTGTTGGCCACCACTAAGATTTTTCACTAGACGTTTTGAAGAGGGTAGGTCCAAAAAATTCAGCAAAAATTGTAGACGTTCCTCGATTTCTCTTGTGCTCATAGCGAAAATCCAACCGAAGTATAGCATAGTCTCTCTAATGGTAAACTCCTCATACAAGGCAATTTCTTGCGGCATATAACCCACCCTTTTGCCCGGTACACCAGATTGCCGGCTACCCGGCTTACCCCCCAACACAAAAATTTCTCCCGCTTCCAAACGTCGCCGTCCAACAATGCACGACAGCAGAGTAGTCTTTCCACAACCAGATGCACCCAGTAGGCCGTAACTGCAAATTAAATGCAACAAACACATACATATCATATTGCATCCCTCTTGAAACTATTCAGAAGCAAAACTGTACTTGCTTTCATTGATTTACAAAAAACAACAACAGTAACGACATGTTCAAGAGCGAAAAATTATAATGGAATAAGTTTTTACTTCAACCGCAATTAGTTTATGTATGTACATGTAAGTTTACTTATTATAATTACAGGTGCAGTTATATGCAATTATTTTGATTTCTTAATATTTAAAACTACTCTGAGTAGATAATCGCTCTAATTACCTTCGCATGTCTGATCACCTTTGCACTTTTTCAAATTATTGAAACCTGTATGTACAACGCAGAGATATCAGTATATCTCCATACATTTTGTTCGTCGCTTGGCTCTCTTCTGAGAGTTGAGAGATATCCGTGTGATAATCAAGCATTTTTTTAATTTAAAATTCATTTTAATCCGATGTAAAAATAAAAAGAGCAAACAAAATATTTGCGATTTCTGAAAAACTTGCATTCGTACGTGACCTTAATAATTATTTAATTCATTGATTCATTGCTTTGATGAACTAACGACGTTTAAATTACACGATTGCGATTTCAATATTTTTCAAACCCCTGCCGATAATTTCGATTTTCCAATAAAGATTATAGGCAGAGGTAGAGAAGCGAGCATGATTAAACTAAGAACTCTAGCAATGACGCTAAAGACCCCTCAAGTAAATTTTTCTAAGAGCGGACGGCTCTGTTAAAAAGCGAGCAATCGCGTCTGTGTGTCGGCTAAAAAGAAGGATTTGCCCGTAAAAATACTTATATAAAACAAAGCTCAAGAGCTTTCTTCATCCCATGAAGGAGTATATTACATAAACTGCTTGACTTTGATATGACGATACTTGTACATACAAAAGTTTAAAGCACATACTAAAAGATGGCGAAAAAGTGCCTTTCAAACCCATTTTAATTGGTCTTGGCATGTAGCAGCCGTTCATGCGTCAATGAACTTAATGTGATGTATTCAAAAATAGGCGAGTCTTCAACCCTACTCTGGGTTATAGGTTTTTAACAATTATTGGATTATTTTTGTAAGAATAATTCTAGTAAGCATAGCCCATAGACTATTAATATACCTGTTGCATGTAAACTTTCGCTTTTCAAAAGCAATTTCAATAGTGTGTTCCGTATCAATACTAGTCAATAAAAATCTTTTACTGCAGGAAACAGCGTCATTTTTATTGATTTCAATAAGTTGCCCTTTAATATTCTGTAAAATGTTTTGTTCACTTATCCGCCCGCCTCTAGTTGTTTCATCCATACACAAATTCCTTCTAATGTAAATAACTTTAGTGCTTAATAATGAGATTTTTATAGACTAAATACTTTTCATTTGATTAAGCACTTTATTAATAAGTGAAAAATACCCTCTGACCTTACTTAACAATTGCTAAAGTAATTATCTGAAAACAGGTTCTTTCATTCTTTCGGGTATACATGCACACGCATACTTGTTAAATGCTTGTAGTTATCGGCATCACTTGAAACCATCTCCAAATCATATTTATAGTTACATTTACATTTTACTCAATGCAAAACACATAAAAACGCTACGTCATGAGAGGAAATTTTCCATTATGGTTAAGGAACGTAAAACTGAACTGGTTTATCAATAAACTTCAGCTTAAGGCAAGTTTAACTAAAATATAATTTTTTGGTACAGAAGGGAATTTTACTAAAATAAATATTGAGGTGCACAATAAGTAATGACGCATTTAGGCAGCATTGCATCTTAAATTAAATTACTTACATTGTCCCTTTTGCTACGGTCATATCCAAGTTATTTAAAACGTGAATTGCTTTCTTCTTCTTCCCGTACGACTTATGAGCATGTCGCATTGAAACGGCTGGCTGGGAATGCCTTTCCCATTGTTGTGTGCCGCTGTCATTATTTGTGGTCATTGGAAAGTCAGGAAGACTGAAAACAATAAAATCGATTTCGATTGATTAATAATTTCCAAGAAGAATCTTTGTTTTGTAATTTATATGAAATCCACAAAAACTAAATAAAGAAACAAATAATAAATTATTATTTAATTTTTCACGAATTTTTGATACTCAATTACTTTAAGTCCAAAGTTATATCAAAAATGTCTTCTTTTTTTTTTATCTTTTGATAATGCCAAACTAGTTTGACGCACGTCGATGATGTTTGTCAGTAGACCTACATCTTTCAACATCTGCAATAGAACCGAAGATGTTTTTATGACAAGCATCAACTTTGTAACCAACAAAGAATGTCAGTAGCAGGTTGAGCTAGGAGCTAGAGAGATAGCAATGCTCATGATCGATGGAGACACGCGTGCGGAAAAGCTATGCAACCACAGGGACCTAGTTTCCTCGGTTCAGTTAAAACTGATTAACTAATTAGCATTGGTTGAGAACGCTTCAAGAGATGCTAACGCTTTTTTTCAATAATCACTTTGGACTCAAAAGAAAAAAACAAAAAATTGAAACATTATCGTAAAAATACATTGGTCTGAAACAGGTTTAAAGATTTAATTCGAGGTTATAGCAGTGCATTACCGAAATCAAATGTAGCGCGTTAACAGCGCAACACAATACAAGGCACAAGAAGCAATTAAATCATTAACACGCAGCGAATAAAATATATCACAATCGCACAGACACGCCTGAACTGTCGCGCACACATATATATTATCTCTAAGATTGGTAAATATTTGAAATAATTTTAACGTAATCGTGTTCGGTCAACCAACTGTTAGTTTGGGAGCAAGTGAGGTATGTGAACTATACTTACTTCAATAGCAAGCGCGGCGTTTTGCCTTAGAGCACTATGGGATTCGATCGGTATAATGTTCGTCGCAACGCTCCCTTACGAGAAATGCTTCAGAGTTTTTCTTTATCTCGCATGATCGCTTAGACTTTTTTGCCGTTATTCACATATGTCTTTGCGTGCGTTTACAGTTGATATGCATGCGACAAGTTTCGGCCTTGCCTCTGAATCAAAAAAATTATATCGGACAGGAAAGACAACTGGAGTCCATATAAAAATATATACGTATATGCACTTTCCACTGAAAATCCTACTTTATGCATGAATTACAAGCGGAGACCTGATTCCCGTGATGCATGGAAATGATATTTTCATAAAAAATTAACGAATCTCTCGAAAAATACATACTGATATATGTGCATATATATTACATTTGGTTTTTAAAATTTACATATTTACAAAGACAAATCGAATAGCTTAGCCGACATTAATGCGGATTTCTTAATAAAAACACTCATACGCGCAATAACAACAACTTATTCGTCATGTCCGTACATATTTTTGCATATGAATTTCTCATTTCGTTTTCCTAATATTGATAAATAATGTCAATAAAAACGACACTGCTACTTTGTATCTATAAATAATATATCTGTATGTGTACATGTGCACATATATAAAGCTCTAGCATTGCATTAATGTACCACTGTTGAATTCTGTTGGACGTTATAGTATTAAATTGTAATATTTATTTATTATCATCAGATTGCTTCGATTTGAATGTGAAAGATATTCTTATGTAAGTCATGGTTTAGCCAACTCGACTCGATAATGAGATCAATCTTTATCTGTCGATATCAATTTTCTTGCGATGCAACAGCCTCCGCCTACCAAAACCTTTGAAAAGGCTCCATGTTTGTTGAGCGGCCATTGCTTGATTTAATTAGATGTAAATTTTGAAAACAAGAAATTCCTACATATGATCCTCAGTTCATAAATTCAAATTCAAGGACATGGGTGTTTGGCAAGAATACCGCTGATTCATGTTCGAATTTATAAAATGGCGCTGTTTCTGTTCTACCACCTCGGCACATTAAGAGTTCTGACATGACTAATATATGAATGCTTCCTGCTGTAGATCCGCAAACGTTTGTGTTTTGTTTTTATTACGAAAACGAATATCTGTTATATCTTCTATATATGTTATATCTGTTCAGAGTTAACTGCAAAACCGAGGCCTTACTTCTTTTTCAAAAAGTGCTATGAATTCTTTAAAAAGTGCTATAAAAAATGACAACATCGTTCTCACGATTTGTAGGAACTCAAGGAATCACAAGGCTTGTATGTCGGCATGAAAATTTGCCGATGCCGGTGTTCTTGAAAATACCACAGCGAGTGAAGAAATGAATCAGGTGAAGAATTTTTAGAAGACATAGAAGTTGTCTTGAGCCGCACTATTTGTCTCAAGGGATATACATTCGTTGAAGCAATAGGCTGAGATTTTAGCATCACATTTATAAAAATGAAATCTCTCTTTTCCGCTATAAAAATTCGGAACTTAAATCTGGATTCATATATATATCATTAATTAAAGCAAACAAAATCTAAAATCCCAAGTTACTTTCCCCTGATCCTCTGAATAATTGCCTACAAACAGCTTCAGGATTTGGATTGTAAATAACTCGCAAAAGAAAGAACCCGTTCAAAGTCTATCACAAACTTCGCCGATGACTATTACGGTGGGTCAGTTATATCTACTCATGCTAATGCGAGCAGAACAATTTGTTTTTTCATTAGCAGTCTTGTGTTTTATATGATTCATTACCCAATGCTTTTGTAACTGAGTGGAATTTTTTTTTTTTTGATTTGAAAATGTATGCATTTAACAGAATTCGTACGTTCATAATATAACATATAAAGCAATTGTTAAAGTAGAAAAAATATAAAGCATAAGTAATAAGTTAAGCAACAGAAATTTGCTGAAAATTTTCCGTTAGTTAGACTAACTCATAATTTGCGTGTTTAACGTAGTAAATGACTATTGCGACACATTGTTTGCCTAATACAATGGAAGCAGTTTAACTTAAATTATGAACGTATACATAGCCAGTTTCCTGCATATCGTTAAGACACTATTTTATTGTTTGTGCCATACTTTGCCTGCCTTAACTAGTGAAAGCAAGTGTTTATAAATCAATTAAATGTGTGTGTCTATAAAAGAAAAAAGAAAAAACCATTTCAGATTTCAAAGTACACAAGAAGGAAAAGGACACACATTATTTGTTGTGACGAATAATGCTACGAAACTATGGGTTTTTTTCTTAAATTTTGCTCCAAGCGGCCACTTACTCGTAGAGGTTTCCAGAAGCCCACAGAAATGGGCCATAGTCCCTCCATATTCCAAGCACAAGTCTCCGCAATCACCGCATGTTTATCTGAATGCTTAAGAAGGCAGTGCAGGAGAAAGCCAAGCCAAGCCGCCAGCCAGGCTGGGATTGGAGTATCTTGAAATACTGAATGAGCTAGGCAGGCACAATGATGTGCACCTAATTTCAACGTTCAGATATTTGGGCAATGAGGGTAATGAAAGGGCTGACTGCTCACCTAATATCGGCGCACAAAGGGTCATGGTACGTCCTGAACCGTGCTGTGGCGTACCAAGAAGCCACATTCGAAAATAATAATTTTTTGGATTTTTGGTTAAAAATATTTTCCTCGACTATCGTCTAAATATCAAAGATCGGCTACAAAAGCGAATAAAAATAGCCAACCGGTTCGCTTGCCTAGCAAATCTTACTTCCGCTGTGGCTGTCTAAATTCGACGTCAATTACTTAACAACTGCGACAAATGCGATCAGTTGGAAAAATATAATTTCAACCGAAACGAGATTAAAATTTTAAGTAGTGACAGTTTCGAGTAACTTCCGTTAAGTAGTTTTGTGAGCCACAAAAAGACCTCTGTCGCCTCCAACTGGTCAACTGGGTGATGAGAATAGACTCACGAGGTAGCATTGCCTCTTAGAACGAATAATGTAAACATTCTTTGCGTTGTTACTATTAACCACTAAGTTCTTATTTAACGTAACCATTTCTTTTTCAACGACATACCCTAGCATCGTATTCAAAGTGCTCTTAAACCAAAATCTTTAAGTAACAAAAAGTCCGAAATTTTAATATTTACATATCCCACTTACACTTAATAGCAGAAAGCGGTAATAGTGATCTTAACGGACAGGCGGTTATTTTATAAATTGTTTCATTAGTGGCATGACTGCGTGTCATGCGCTCTTTGACCCTAAAAACTAGATAAGTTCGAAGTAGCTGACAGGGTTAAATTCCAAACATTTTATAATCGTTAAAGAGTCGAGAACATTTAATTACATGACAAAACGTGGGGAAAAAAATGTTATGAAACACGCTTTAAAAATTTCGTAAACAAATATTTAATAATTTAAAGTGCAAATACAAAATCTATTTCCTTTCATTTTTAATAACTAAATAAACAATTCAATGCTCAGCTTTAAAAGCAAGTTTTGCTAAAGTAATTAAAAAATCGTTGTTTCTAATTTTCGAATTCTGCTGATATTGGCATTAGTCGATAGGTTGGAACCTGGCTCAGACTAGAAGCAGGCATTACCTGTCAGCGTCCAATTGGCGATTGCAATAAAACAATAATGTGCGAATGTGCAGCATTAGGATTAGTTTCCATATTAAAATGAACTTTGTTTTTTTTCAAGTTCATTGTTTTTGTTTTTCAAATTATATGCGTTCACTGTTCACATTATTATACGTTTAATAGACATAAATGTGACATAAATATGTTGCTTTATTACATCTCTAAATTACACCTTCGGTAATAGAAGACTTTCATAAATGCTTATTGTGCAATGATATGACTGACTGAGAACACAAAAGATTCATCTACATATATAGTTGTAGTTATAGTTATAGCTAGTGTACGTACACGTACACGTATAAACAAATGTGTATAAGTGCATGCACAAGCGTATTAAAAATTCAGACACGTTCGCTTTTAAACAGAGTACAAGGTTACAAGGTGTACAGAAAATCGTAGGATGCAACTTTTACTGCTCAAACTTAATTTTGGTCTCGATGGACAACATTTTACTCCTCTTAGATAGCAGGCAAAGCGTATACATATATGAATTTTTAATGTCTTCCCATAACGCCCATACCCATATATATTCTTGATAGGCATGAGTAGTTGATCTGGTCCACTCGTACTTATTTTTCAAACCAAAATTCAAGCACGTTTCTCTTGGCAAACGTGTATCATTTCCCTGGTAAGACTAGTGTCCCTTCATTGCACAGTTTCTATGCGTTTATGAGCGGGAAACTGAAGTGTCCTGCAGAGTGCCCGACAGAAAGCGAAATAGGTGATAGTCGGAAAGGCAAGGCCGGAGCTATTAGTTTTCACCGGATCATTAAAGCTACGCGTGTGTTAAATTTTTGGCGTTTGATCTATTCTGAATGGCCTTCTGCCCGCTTTAATCAAATTATTTGCTCACAGTAGATATTGCTATCAGTAGTCTGCTCCGGTTTTTGCTGCACGATTTGCTTGCAAACCTACCAAAAACGCCACTCAGCGACGACACCCGTTATATTCACTTTACGGTCTTTTTGTACTGAAGCTGCGCTAATGTACTTCTGTTGAGAAATGCTTTTAAATGGATTTAAGCATTTTCTAAAGGTATCCGTTAATGCATCAGAGAAGATATAAATCAACTGATAAGACATTAAGCAGTCAACTTGTCCGTAGGGTTTTATTTCATTTATGTGGTCTTTCCCGGGGCGAAGAAGAATTTGAAATTTCAAAAAAATGTTCAATCAAAAAGTCAATGAACACTTTCTGCAGCTACACTCGAAAGGTTAAGCATCTACTTTTTTTTTAAGAATAATGTTTAATCTAACAAAAAACGTTAACAAATAAAAATCTTCTAATCATGTAGATCGCTGCTACCCTTTCATGGTGTGTTTATATTATACTTAATCTACTTCAAAGTTCGACTATCATGACTCATTTCTTTCATTTCGAGTTTCCCCGAAAATGATGTTGAAAACTCATATCAATGTGTTAGGCATATGCACTTACGATGTACATATGCATTAATTTAATGCTCCATTGCAACTCGGCTTATATTGCAAAAATATAGTGGGATTTTGAAAACCTGTTTACTTAGGTATTGCGTAACAGAGAATCACGCATTTTGTAAATATTTTACATTTTTTAAAAGTTTTTTTCATTTTATTCCTATGCTCGGTTTTTTTTCCTTTTGCATTTTTCTTTAATTCTAAAGCTTTATTTTAATAATTTTTTAAATTTTAGCACGTTTGCGCGCAAATTAATTGAATTGAATATTATAGGCTGCAATGTAGAGATTCGTATGACGCAAATACCGGCATTGTTGAATTTTATAATCCATAAACATAAACGTAAAAAAATAACTTTATTGTTCCTCTTTGTGTCTGAAATGTGATGAACGTACAGTACGTAGCGCTTAATTTGTTACGCAGCAGTGTTTTGCTTTTAAGTAATTTTTTCTTAAATTTCTACAAAGTCCACTGAGAAAGAGTGAAGATGTTGTTTCGTTAAGATTATTATATTCTCTTTAAATATAATTATATATATATATATATAATAAATCAAAAAAATTGAAAAAAATGATCCCCTACTCGTTCTGCTTTCGTTTCCGCGCAACTAAACAAATCGCTAATTTTTGGTTTAAATTTTAAACTGAACTTTCTTGCATCACTTCCTTGATATGCGAGATTAAATTTTTTTTTTTTGGAATATTAAAACGACTACTCACTAGCCCTTTCTAGCCTCTGCCCAATTTTATCCAAAGTAAAAGAATTAGAGGCAGTTAAATGAATTCTTTCACTGCTCTAACACGTCACGTTCTTTCAAAGATGAATAGACCAGATTCCTATAGTACGTATGCGTGACACAAGACTATGTACATCAAACTTTCGTTGTTTTTTTCTAAATTATACTAATATCCCATTTTTGCTTGTATTTATTACCTAAGCACACGCAATAGTATAAAATAGAATACACATTTTTAATCAACACTAGAATTCGCGGTCGTTTTGAACAACTCTCCGATAATCAATTCGATTTCCATATAAAAACCTAAAGCCTTAAGCAGTGAGAAAAGTTAGTAAGGAATTTATGGACAGCAATCAAAATTGGTGCACTACCTTCCAAGCTATTTCATGCTTACGCATTATAAATTGATGACGTCAGTGCAAGATTGTGCTTAAAAAAAATTTTTTCAGAATTTATACTATTATAAACTTGGAATTGGATCGCGCAAATGTTCGCGTCTTTTTTAAACTTTTAATGAATCCTTCTAATAATTATCAATGACACAATTTATTAATTTTGAAAAAGTATGTATATTAATAACTTGGCAATTTTCTGAGATGCAATTAAATACGGAAGGTTGATGCATTCAACAAGTCCCTGACAAAGTCTGGTAGATATAACATAACTCTTTTTTCAACAAAGGTAGTGAAAAAAACACGTAAAAATACACGTGACGTAACCACTTTTCATTTTGACTTGATTTGTATTGTTATTGTTTGTTTAACTTTACTGCCTTTGTAACATCACAAATTTGCTGAAATTGTGGTTTTTTTAGTTCGATAACGTAATTAAAACAACAGAAGAAAAAAGCAATTTCGCCTTTATACCTAACGATACGATTAAAATTTATGGCCCTTCATCATTTTCAGGAAGAATGAAAACTATATAAACGCAATAAGGGAATGGTTGTGAGGAGCAGATGCGCTATCATAGCAGGCGTAAAAAGCACAAATTCTCCGCGGATTTCCTATTCTGAATAGTACAATGATCAGAATTCTTGTAGAACGTATCTATTCTACTATGAAAAATCGTAATAGCGCATCCTATAGCAAATAAATGGACAAATAAAACTGAAAAGAATCGATCATACAACACACGTAGTTCGACTAAACAAATATAAATAAAGAAACGAAAAATGGATTAAGACAATAAGAATAGACTCCAGAAGTAACGCCGAAGCGTTAAGAAATTCGTATGCGTTGCTTTAAAAAACCATACAGTATCCCACAAAGGCATAAGAAAAATTCAAAATGGTTGAAAGGACAAATTTGAGAAATATTCGAAATAGCAAACATATTCAAATGAGTAAACACAATTACGAAATAACACGAAATCTATCACAGAAATGAAATTTTGCACTGCACGGATTGTATGCAATTTTGCTCAAATACGGCCAGAATCTATTAAGAAGAATACGATCTCTGCTATGATAGCTGTGGAATACATTTTTCTCTTTCATTCAAAGCAGGACCCGAGTGCCTAAAATACCAAACCTGCTATGAATGTTTTCTTAATCAAATTACGAGGAATAAAATGGCGTATAATATACAGCCGAATATTGATCATATAGTGTACATCCCAATATTGTTCACTATTTTATTTAAATAGTTCGGATCTTAATCTTCCCGCATTATTAAGCGCTCTTCGAAAGGGTGAACATTTGCAGAGACTGTGCATTGTTGGTCAGATGCCCCAGCCTCTGCGGTATCGCTGTTGAATAGTCTGCCACACTCTACGAGATTTTTCTATTTGAATTCCCTTGCACCGGCATGCAGGTTGTTTCAAGCGAATCATTTTCCACAATGCCACCAGTGCTCTACATTTCAATAAACTCTTAAATTTCATTCCAATGCATCGCTTGACATACGACGATTATTGCAACGCTTCAGTGTGTATACGAATCTAACTAAATTTTCATTTGGTTAGAGAATCCCGCTCGCCTTATAACACGCAGTTATAATAAAGTATATTAACTATGTTTTTGCGAGCAAGCATCGAATTCTAAACGATGTTGAAACACGTTGCGGCCAAAGACGTTTGAAAAACTCGTACATCTTTCCGACTGCAACATTCGCATTGTTCGACCGAAAGAATGTGTTATTGAAAGTAACTGAAGGCTATTCGCTATATTCTACTAATTGAGTAAAAATATTTAAAAAAATTTTAAAAGCATTGAATTTAGAAATTCGCGCACGATCATAATACTTACGTTGTTAAGAGCATATTTGAGGAGAACTTTTTGTTCCTAGGGGAAGAATGGACAATCCTTTATCTCAGACAAACGATACTTTAAAGGAGCGAAAACTTTTGTTTGAAAATATTTTACGCAAACTCCAAAATCTTACTTTGTACCATACAAAGCGATGCAATAATATCTGACATAAGCTAACAGTCGTTGTAAAATAAACGTATATATGTGTAAGGACAGATTACTGGTGCGGCTGAAAGTATAGAAATAAAAAAGGAAAAACGCCATTAAAAAATCGTGTTTTGCAAAATACAATAAAGAATCCAACAGCTGATTACATGGGTTAGCAAAGTTCCAAATTTTGAATGTGCTAATGTTTAGGAACAGTTTTTGGTCGACGATTCTTTCATCAGAACTGTTTGTTCTCGTCTATTTCACCTTTCATTTATTTTATTGCAAAAGTAATTAGTTACATAAAAAGTAGTGGCTGTCATGTAGTGCGCCGACTTATAAATCCCTGGATCTTTTAAGAACCTTTTTTTTGGGAAATTTCCCCTTTATTCGTGGATATAGCCTCGTTCAAGAGCGACACCATTAATCGAACGTTCGCTCTAACATTACGATGCTTTTCTATAGTAAGATTTGTTGTGGGCCTCTATATAGAGTTGATTTCATCCAAAAACATTGGCTTGAACCCCCAACGTAAGATTTGTAAACAGGTAACAGTCGTGGGTCGGAAACAATACGACGGCTGAGGTAGCTTTTCAAACTTCAACTGACGAAACTTTTCCATTACAGCCATACGTAGCGCACTGGGCTACGGCTACTTTCTTGAAAGTTTTGTGCAACTTTAACCAGGTCTTTTAATCTGAGGGGATTATCTGTTCGATGTGGAAGTGCAGTGATAAACCCACATCGGATTCATTATCACATATAGCATAAAAAAGTCGTTCGTATTGCGTCAAAGGGGGCGCCGAATGTGAATATATTACCTTTCGAAATCTGTTGGATCTTGCAACTTCTCCTTTCGATTATAGGGAATAACTTTCAGCATTTCTTCTTGTTTCCTTTAAGAACTTTGTTAACAAACCATCGAAAAATTGTTCTTTTCAACGGTGACGAATTGCTTTAACACTTTCCAAGTCAATGCTCAAGTTTATTATTTTTTCCCTTCAAGAGAATTTTTTAATCAGAAGGTCACCAAAATCACCGCCACTCGTAATAAAATGATAAGATGTTCACAGGCGCTGTTCGAACGTAGTATGGAGTTTTGTACGATATCTCTATGTAGATCCTACGTCTTAGTAATCGACGTGCTGAATGCCAAGAAGCTCTGACTGTCTACCGCATAATTTAATTAGTAGCGTATGTGAAACGTGGCTAAGCGTTGCCATTAACTATAATAACATATAGAGATACGTTTACTACTAAACTAAGGTTAAACTACGTCTATAGATATAACATCTTACGTACAAGGTAGCGGATAATTTCTTGTCTCCCTGAACAAAATATATTTGTTTATTTTTCGTACTATTCTACAACAATTACAATTTGGTTATGACTTTGAGAATTTGGATATAGATTAGAGCATAAGAATATCATTTTTCAGCTGATAGCAGTGTTTTAGCAACTTTGGTTTATTTCTCTACAGTTACGGTCAATGTTACGGCTCATCGTCTGACATATAATAAAAAAACATGTATGAAAACGATAAAATAAACAAAGTCATCACATATTTGCAGGTATAGTTGTATGTGCACAGGTATACGTATAGATATATATGAACGAATATATATGTATTTTATTTCGAAATTTCACTATGCAGCGATATTTTAAAATGAGCGTGAATATGTATTTATGAAAAGTGAAATAAGAGAAAGGTTATAAGAAGTTTGTGCCGAATACAGCATGAGCCGCAAATGGTTCCAAAATAGTTCCTATATTTTATTAAAGAAAAAAACAAAAACACTATAAAGACCGCTAAGGCATTCGTGAAATATGGCTTGGCCTTCCAAAGTCGTTAAAATCATCGTAATATATAAAATGTTTGCTTAAACATTCCTCTTCTCTACATTTCAGTGGTGGTTTTTAAAGTGATTTTTGAAAGCGAAGACCTGCGTAGAGTCCAACGTAATGGCGATTATTTATTGCTAAATTTGACTTTCCACCTGGTTTTCGGTCCGCATGGAAACAAGCCGACTTGAAAAGGTACGAAAGCAGGTTTATGGCGTATTATAAAGTTCCCCAAGTAAATAATCATTTTTGCGGAACGCATATGATAGGACGAAGTGAACATATCTGCTAGAGAGCGGAGTAAAAACATCACTTCATGCACTTAATCATTGACATTGACGATTTCATCTTAACTCAAAAAAAAAAAAAAAAAAATATATATATATATATATAATAGCAAGCATTAATTGCATGTGCGTTAAAAGCAGAAACACAACAAGAGCAAACTAATAATTATAAGCAAATAAATATATTTCATTATGTTCATGCACATATGTGTTAATACTTATTAACACATGTAGTCGTAATAAATCTTTAAAGTTACCTAACTACATACATATGCGTACGTATGTATGTATTATTTGTAAATGTTTAAATGTTTAAACACATTTACATATAAATAAGTATAACCGTAAATGTGTTACAAACCATTATCTCATTTTGTTATATTATTATTATTATTATTATTATTAATAAAAGGGTTTTGCAAACTATATTAAAAATCATAAGTCGCCTTATATGCTCGCGTCTAAATTTTACGCGTTTTGTCATAATGAAGCAAAGTTAAATTAATATTTTAAACAATTTGTGTCAAGGTTTTCTCCAATATTTTTTTTTTTTCTTTTTTTCTCATGAAAGGAAAAGATATAATCTCATTTTGGGTATGGCCGGAGATCTAAACATAATACCTAAAAATGAGTAATTTTTCGTATTCAGGAAATAAAATTTTTTATCGAATGCTAAAATAAAACCATTTATCAATTTTCCCTTCAATTTTAACGATTATTAGTAAGAAAGCTCTACGCTCGTTTTGTGGCCGGTTTTGGCAGCTCACCCTCCATACTGTGGGGTTTTTGCACACCTTATGGCCTTGTCAATCACTTAACTTTAGTCGAATAATTTCACATCGAATCTCTCAACTACAGTGTAGTATTATTAGTACCGCATATGTCGAAATGATATTCTTGATGATGGCACCACGAAAATGCAATAAAAGTTTTCGAAAATTTTCAAACTTGTCTTAATTGATCAGCCAGTCGGATCGCTACAGACATTCAAAATCGGAATCAAATCGGAATTAAGTTGAAAAGTTTTTCTGATGAATCTTAACTTTCCGCGTCAAGTTTTGCAGGCAACAACATTTTCGTCGATCGATAACTAGACAACCTTGGACCTTCCCATATTCAATTAGAACAAACGCACAGAATTCAAAAATTTGTTTATTCTGTCATCTAGAATACATAGTTCTAGAAGTTAAATGGCGCAGCAAGGGAAAGTAATTGAGCACACATTTAATTGGTCTGACATTACTATGTTGTCACCGATTAGAAGTGAATGTCAAATTATACGAATCATTTATTAACCAATCTTCTTAATGAATTTATAATTACCGTATTTAAAAATTCTATTTACTTTAAGTTACTTTACTTATTTTAATGGAAAAAATTTCTCTTAAACCTTACTTGAACTGTCTAACAACGTTGTACGATATACTATTTTCTAGCAGAATTTAATTAATTTATTGAATTCACTTAATTGATTGTTATTTTTATCCATGAAACTACTATAATTTATTGCAACTCGATTAGCACCTAACTTACCTGGTACGCCTGCAAATCGTTCAATTACATTTCATTCATGTTATGTGCCTAAGAATTAAATTTGAAGGCAGATGCCCTTTAAGAAAACTCAACTTTTCTGGCGTTCCTTTTGCTTATTTATTTTGTAATTTCTAACTCTATGCATAGTTCGATAAACTTAAATTTTGCAGAGTTAATCCGCGCTTTGTCCATTTTTACGAATACGTTTTTAAACTTTTAAACAAACTCGAAATCTTTAAAAATTCATATAAAATGACACAAATTTTTGCTCTCTCTCTCTCTCTCTCTCCGCAGCTCCACAATTATATGCTGTACTGTTCATATAAAATTTACGTTAAGGTCTTGCCGTTCCAGTAACGTGCATATAATATTCGATTTTGACTTAATGTACATTTTGCCCATCGAAATATGCAAACGCGCCGTCAAGACACAATAATTGCATTTAATTGCTTGCACATATGGCATATTCATCATTAAAGACGCAAAAATATTACTTTTTGTATTCGACGATTGTTTCGACGACACGGTGTAATTGCAAAATCACTTTGGACTTTCAATCCAACTTAAAAAATGAGACGCGTAGAATTTTCTAAAGCATTTCTCACAAATATCTCTGTGAAACAGTATGTTATCCATTAAAAAAAGGCACTTTGCTCGCCTCTTTTAAAGCGTAGTGGCAGTCAGACTACATTGCCTTCGCACAAAAGCAAACCGAACGGTTCTCCAATGTTCCTAAGGATTCGAAGACCTGTATTTGTTTTGAACTGTTATCAAAGGTCTTTTCTTATTTTCTTATCTTGGCCAGGCTGTAGGGAGTTCAAGCAAACAGGAAGATGGGTGTTAGGTAGGCAAGGTAAGTCGAGTAATCTCACGCGCGTTACAAACGAGCGAACAAATCCAACAAACTCACATCCTTCAATGCTAGGCATAAGAAGGCAATAAAATGTGGTAAAAGAATTTTCTGTAATTGAGTCGCGTGAATTCAAATACTCATAGAAGGTAAATGTCATGCAAAATGACATTTAATTTTTAAATAAATACCTCTTAAATAAAATAGAGTAAATTAAATAAAGAAAAAGACGTAAAGAAGATACGATTGGTTTTATGGTAAGTCTCGAACATACATCAACTTATATAATATAGCTTCCAAGTTCAAAACCAGTTGAAAATCATAAAAATAAGTTTGGATTAATAAAAAAATTTGACGAGCCTTGTGAGGCTTTACCAGTCCTGTGCGCTAACATGATACAAAACGAACATAAATAAATGCTTTACAGCGATTTTGATTTTGATTGCTTTTCCAATGGATGGCCTAGTAAATGCACGGTGTGCGTATAGCAAAACTAAGGAGAATAGTTCGGGGCCGTCAATGGTTCTTTCATATTTATCCGGAAAGTTGTTGTAAATACGAATAACCCTG